TCTGTCCACTCTTTAACATGATTTTAAGTGTACATAAATATGGTACACCATTTCCCATAATGGGAATATGGCACAGAAATCTATGCCAGTTGCCAAGTAGATTAAATGTCACTCTCGCAGGTGTTTTCTCCTTTCCATGGTTGGCAGAAGGATGCCCTTCCACACTACCACATCTTGCATATCCCATAGAGGCCTTCAGACACAGTCACAGGTCTGAAAGGTCATTTTACCATTCCTTTGCTCTCGCTGCTCCGTGGAGGTTAATGTGAGGCAGCGTTTAATCCAATCTAAACATTGAAACAGATTTCCCATCTGCCCCTGTCTTCTCTCCTCAGTGACCCTGTCACACACGGTTATTCTCAATGAGTCCTGATGAGCCTGGCTGCAGATGAATCCCCTCTGTGTTTCATAATGCCCGTGGATGGCATGGAGGAGGATGTATCTTCCATTAGGTCATGTAAAATACAGGAGTCTTAATAGACCATTCGTCTCTGTTAGCGAGCTAGCGCTGCGGCGTTATGAGGACAGGCCTCTCACTGATTGCAGGCAGAGCGAAATGGCTAGGGGACTGAGGTGACCTCTGTGATGGCAAACTGTTATTATAACTAGGTTGTGAGAAGGTTGGTAATATCTTTACCTAGTAGCGAGCTTACTAACTCAGTGGCCTTGTGGTTAGAGTGTCTGCCCTGAGATTGGAAGGTTGTGAGTTCAATCCCTGGTTAAGTCATACCAAAGACGGTAAACAAACGGGACCTGATGCATCTCTGCTTGGCACTCAGCATTAAGGTGATACTGTAGATTGATGGTAAGGCCCTGTGATAGATGAGCGTCCTGTCCAAGGGGTGTACGTGTACATTGAGCTGCTTCACTCTACAGAGATAGGTGCCTGCCCTATGAGCTGTTCCGGCATGCACAAGCCAAGACTTGTGTGAGGCTACTTACTAGTTGAGAGTTTGGGACTATAAGGTTCTATCAGCATTTTTGTCAAAATGGAGTTATTGACATATCCTTGTTCTATTCAATGTATAGTATATAGTACTCTATATACCCCAATTCATGTTGTAAAGTTCAAAATAATACAATATACAAATTGCTGACACCATTCAAACCAATGAGGGTTCAGAACTTTAAAGCCAATTATGTCAGAATTATCTTTTTTCAGATATAACCTTATAGTCCAAAGCTCTCGTAGTGACACATTTCTACAGACAACACTGTAAAGTCACAATTTTGGTAAAAACATGGTGACGTTTTTTGACTATATTTGGTTCCTCTGTCCCTGTGTGGTGTCCTAAATGTGGACTGAGCTTATGACTGAGCTCTATGGCCCAGTGTGCACTCTATCATATCTCTCCGGGGAGTTGAGGGCCACTCAGAATATAAAGATGGCCATTGAATCTGCTAGTGCTACTTAGCCGCCAGCTAATCTCCCAAGCCAGTTGTTCCAACGGCATCGTTACCAGTCTGAACCCATCTCATTTTATGGTCTCTGTAACACAGTAGGAGGAGAAGGCTGTGGAGACAGTGGAGAGGAGGAGCCTGGCTGCCAGTGTGATTTAGTACCTGGAGGATCAGCTCCACATTAGGCCAGCCTCCAGTGCCCCCTCTGTTTTAGTCTAATTGAAACAGAAACGGCGGGGTGATAATGCTATAACAACACCCCCACGCCTTCGCCCCTGAGCCAGGCCCCGCTGCGCTGATACGCATGCCGCTGCCTGCAATAAACCATAAATAAAATGGATAGCCGAGGGGAGCGTCTGGGCCCTGCTCATTGGCTCATTGACTCCAAGGAGCGCTTTTAGCTTTCATATCGCATGCTCTAGAAAGATTAGACAGCAGTCAGTAGCAGGCCTCTCCTCTAGCTTTGCACGGCCCTCTCCTTCTGGCCTTTTATCGCCGTTGGTTTTTAAGTGGGGGAGGACGGAGAGGAAGAGGGGGTATCATTGAGCTTAGGTCCAACAGGCTGTCCTCAGTACAGACAGGCTCTCACCTTCCCAGCCAGTAAGGCCCAAGACGATAGATCTGGACCCAAGTTTTACTGTCAGAGGAGCTCCTGTGAAGCGTGGAGTGACTTAAACAGGCATCACCTCCTCTATGGGTACCCTGTTACTGGAATCATCTCCTCTATGGGTACCCTGTTACTGGCATCATCTCCTCTATGGGTACCCTGTTACTGGAATCATCTCCTCTATGGGTACCCTGTTACAGGAATCATCTCCTCTAGGTGTACCCTGTTACAGGCATCACCTCCTCTATGGGTACCCTGTTACAGGAACAATCTCCTCTATGGATACCCTGTTACTGGAATCATCTCCTTTATGGGTACCCTGTTACTGGAATCATCTCCTCTATGGGTACCCTGTTACTGGAATCATCTCCTTTATGGGTACCCTGTTACTGGAATCATCTCCTCTATGGATACCCTGTTACAGGCATCACCTCCTCTATGGGTACCCTGTTGCAGGAATAATCTCCTCTATAGGGACCCTGTTACAGGTATCACCTCCTCTATGTGTACCTTGTTACAGGCATCACCTCCTCTATGGGTACCCTGTTACTGGAATAATATCCTTTATGGGAACCCTGTTACTGGAATCATCACCTCTATGGGTACCCTGTTACTGGAATCATCTCTTTCATGGGTACCCTGTTACTGGAATAATATCCTTTATGGGAACCCTGTTACTGGAATCATCTCCTCTATGGGTACCCTGTTACAGGCATCACCTCCTCTATGGGTACCCTGTTACGGGAATCATCTCCTCTATGGGTACCCTGTTACAGGAGTAATCTCCTCTATGGGTACCCTGTTAGAGGTATCACCTCCTCTATGTGTACCCTGTTACAGACATCACCTCCTCTATGGTTACCCTGTTACAGGCATCATCTCCTCTATGGGTACCCTGTTACTGGAATCATCTCCTCTATGGGTACCCTGTTACTGGAATCATCTCCTTTATGGGTACCCTGTTACTGGAATCATCTCCTCTATGGGTACCCTGTTACTAGAATCATCTCCTTCATGGGTACCCTGTTACTGGAATCATCTCCTCTATTGGTACCCTGTTACAGGCATCACCTCCTCTATGGGTACCCTGTTACAAGCATCATCTCCTCTATGGGTACCCTGTTATAGGCATCACCTCCTCTATGGGTACCCTGTTACAGGCATCACCTCCTCTATGGGTACCCTGTTACAAGCATCACCTCCTCTATGGGTACCCTGTTACAAGCATCATATCCTCAATGGGTACCCTGTTATAGGCATCATCTCTTCTATGGCAGGTAGCCTAGCGGTTAAGCGCGTTGGGCCAGTAAACGAAAGGTTGTTGGTTCCAATCCCAGAGCGGACTAGGTGAAACAAATCTGTCAATGTGCCCTTGAGCAAGGCACTTAACCCCAGTTGCTCCTGTAAGTCGCTGTGGATAAGATTTGGTTAAGTTGAAAGCTATCCCACTTTTGTTAAAACAAGAAAATTATATATAATTCTATTTTGAGACAGGAAAAATAGATATCAAAACAACAATTTTGCAATTGCAAGTCTTAGAGAAAAGACCATCCTAGTTGGTTAAGTTAAAAGTGGGATAGCTTTTAACTTAACCAACTCTTATCTAGAGCGACTTACAGGCACTAAGTGCCTTGCTCAAGGGAACATTGACAGATTTTTTTCAACTAGTCAGCTCTGGGATTGGAACCAGCAGCCTTTTGTTTACTGGCCCAACGCGTTAACCGCTAGGCTACCTGCCATAGAGGAGATGAGGCCTATAACAGGGTACCCATAGAGGATATGATGCTGCTGTGATGACACTTTTATCTTGTATTTAAAACTGAAGTTTACGGAGTGGATGAGAGCCCGGTAAGCCTTGATATTTAGTGCTGAGACTGACCCTCATAACACCTAGCTGGGTGAATGATGATAGAGGATGGTTTCGGCAGTCATCACTGGTGACTAGATAAATACTAGTCTGAATACTGCTCTAATAGGAAACATTACACAGACTCCTGTTGGTCCTCTTATCTCTATGAGTGCTTGAGGAATCACAGAGCGAAGCAAAAATCTTCCTGAGTGTGTGTGTGTGTGTGGTTGACAGGGCTGAGCCAGGTCAAAGGTTATGACTTATCGCCCTATTTCAGCCCTGTACATCAGTGGAGGCTGGTGGGATGAGCCTGTCGTCCCATAGTTCCTCCCACCAGCCTCCACTGCTGTAATATTTTCTCTCCTGAGGAGAGGCAATGTCTCCTTGAGACAGAATCAATGGTGGAGTGCTGCACTGCCTTCCAACAGGCTAACAATGAAGCTGCAACAATTACAGTCAGACAGACAGCCCGGAGCGAGAACCACACATATCTCTGTTATAAATAGCTGGGGATGAGGGGAAAACACTAACAGTTGTTTGTTAAAGATACACTTGTGGGCCATTCTTGAAATACAGACAGTACTCCTGGTCCCTGTTACATGTTCACAGATTGATGCGTACAAAACAGTACCGTTATTGATCTAGGTCCCTCAGTGGGTATTCAGCCAAGCAATGCATTCTGTTGAGCATGATAAGCATTAGGAAGCCATACTGTATGTGTGTGTAGTGTGTCATGAATGTACCTGGATGGAGAGGCAGAGAGAGCAGGGCAGACAGGCCTGTTTTATGGCCTCCATTAGGCATATGGCCAGCCAAATCCATCATCCTGAGACACTAAGGCTATGCTCTGGAATAACCTAGGTCCTATAGACATGTACTGTACTCTGGTAGGATAGGGTCTATGACCTGTCAGTGTTCATCCTCACACCTCTCTCTATATATACTTTAGGTTTGGTTCCCCTCCCTCTAAAAGGCTTTATGATGAGCAAGAAAGTGTTTTTCTGTAGTTAGACTTTTATTTTGAGTCTGTGTGGATGCTGTTAGTCGCAGTTTGTGTCCAACTCTCATTCTCTCTCTCTCTTATCCTCCCTCCCCCCCCTCTCTCTCTCTCTCTTTCTCCTCCCTCTCTCTCGTCCCACAGCATTTGTGTTGAGCTGTACCTTTCCCCAGCGGCCGGCCTGTGGGGATGTGTCTGTGAGCAGCCTCCACTCTGGGGGAGAGGCCTTCTTCTACTGTGTGACTGGGTACCAGCTGCAAGGAACCAACACACTGACCTGCCTCAACGCCAGCACCCCCTACTGGAGCGACACAGAGCCACAGTGCCTCGGTGAGGGCTGGGGGCAGCTAGCTACACACCTCTCACACCCAAATACCACAATGGGACCAATACACCTTGCTATGCACACAGACTTTCTCCACAGTTATTTAACATATTAATAGACACAAACACTCTTCCCTTCTCAAACCTTGTCACAGTCTTTCAAAAACGAATTCACATTCCCTGTGATTTGTCCTGTAACTATTCCTACCAGAGCATCAACACAGTTCTTCCCTCTTCAACAAGTGAGGTGTATAACTACATGAATATGTTGTCCTCACTGGAGCAATTAGACTCCACTAGAATGATCCCACACGCACTCAGCTTAGTGTTGCTCAAAAGTTAAGTGGGGTTTAATCATTGATTTGGGTCTTAATGGTGTGAGTTGCAGTATCTGTTGCTTTGGGGTGGTGAATGTTAAACAGCCAGCCCTATTCAGTCAGGCCTCTCCTAGGAAGTAAAGAAATACTTGCAGAACCAAGGACTGCATCATATTTCTCTTCCAAGAAGTTCACCTCGAGTCTGCTTGTATTCGTCTTGCATAACAAGCACAGATTCAGACAGGGTTCAATCCCCAGTGGAGGACAGTTTAGAAGCAGACAGTTTAGAAGCAGACAGTTTAGATGCAGGATCTCATTTTGCTGCTCTGATGAGCACCAGTGATGAATAGTGAGTGAATGTTTTAGCCCTGGTCAGATAAACATGGGTTTGGAACAGTGGGTCTCTCCATTGTTTTAACAGTGAATGGAGAGCAGGGATGCTCCCTCCTAGCGTTGGACATCGTAAAGGCATAGTTTAGAAAATGTGTGGAGAGAGTATAAGGATTCTCTCTCCTACCATTTATACAGTGTGTATGTGTGCGCGTGTGCCTGCGCCCAAGACAGTGGTCCCAGAGCCCACAGCACGGTGTCTGCCAGGGTGTGATTACAGATGACAGGGCAGAGTGCCACAGGGAAGGTTAGGGCTGAGGCTGCTGCACTGCTTTAATTAAGCCTTGTGTCTGTCTACCTAGCTTAACTTCACATTCGTCTGTTGTGATATACTGATACCAATACAAGACCCACTCTCTTTTATTTATTTACACAAACTCAGAGCTTGCTCTTGCTCTTACTCATCACCTCCACTCATTGTGTTTTCCTGGTTTATCTCTAGTCATGGTTTCCCAAGGTACAGTATTCTCTGTCGTTACACATTCTGTTTGACTGATATTTAAGCAAAAGTTTTTCCCAGACTAAAATACGTCTCTCTCTCCCTCTTCCTCCCATCCCATCCTTCTTCTCTCCTCCTCCCATCTTCCTTGTCTTCTCTCCTCCCATCTATCTCATCTTCTTTCTCTTCTCCCCTCCCATCTATCTCATCTTCCTTCCCTCCTCCCATTCCTACTGCATTCTCCATGGGCATCCCAGCTGCCTGTGGTGGCATTGTCCGGAATGCCACGGTCGGACGCATTGTGTCCCCCTTTTTCCCTAGCAACTACAGCAACAACCTGACATGTCATTGGCTGCTGGAGGCCCCAGAGGGACAGCGCGTGCACGTCCACTTTGAGAAGGTGGCCCTGGCAGAGGATGATGACAGGTGTGGTGTCAGTCATTGGGTTCAATTCACTACAGTGTTCAGTCAGACCTGGGTACAAATAGTATTATTTTTCTTCCAAGTATTTTCAGTTTTGATTAAGCGTATCTTGGGTGAGTGGAGCTGAAGGATGGGACTAAAAACAAACAAAATCTAATTATTGTAAAATATACTGTGTCCGTAAAATGTATATAAGCTGGAAGTAGAAGCCTAAGTGTTGTTGTCCATTAGTTTACTCCAATTAGGGGAGGATTGGTAGGGTTAGGGGAAAATAATAAAGGAAAATATATTTGAAAATATATACAATACCAGTCTAAAGTTTGGACACACATACTCATTCCAGGGTTTTTCTTAATTTTTTACTATTTTCTACATTGTAGAATAATAGTGAAGACATAAAACTATGAAATAACACATATGGAATCATGTAGTAACCAAAAAAGTGTTAAACAAATCCAAATATATTTTGTATTTGAGATTCTTCAAAGTAGCCACCCTTTGCCTTGATGACAGCTTTGCACACTCTTGGCATTCTCTCAACCAGCTTCATGAGGTAGTCACATGGAATGCATTTAAATTAACAGGTGTGCCTTGTTAAAAGTTAATTTGTGGAATAAATGTGTGAAATTTCCTTTTTAATGCATTTGTGTTGTGACAAGGTAGGGGTGGTATACAGAAGATAGCCCTATTTGGTAAAAGACCAAGTTCATGTTATGGCAAGAACAGCTCAAATAAGCAAAGAGAAATGACAGTCCATCATTACTTTAAGACATGAAGGTCATCAATCCGGAACATTTCAAGAACTTTGAAAGTTTCTTCAAGTGCAGTCGCAAAAAACATCAAGCGCTATGATGAAACTGGCTCTCATGAGGACTGCCACAGGAAAGGAAGACCCAGAGTTACCTCTGCTGCAGAGGATAAGTTCATTAGCGTTAACTGCACCTCAGATTGCAGGCCAAGTAAATGCTTCACAGAGTTCAAGTCACAGACACATCTCAACATCAACTTTTCAGAGAAGACTGCATGAAATCAGACCTTCATGGTCGAATTGCTGCAAAGAAACCACTACTAAAGGACACCAATAATAAGAAGAGACTTGCTTGGTTCAAGAAACCCGAGCAATGGACGTTAGACTGGTGGAAATCTGTCCTTTGGTCTGATGAGTCCAAATTTGAGATTTTTGGTTCCAGCAACCATGTCTTTATGAGACGCAGGGTAGGTGAACGGATAATCTCTGCATGTGTGGTTCCCACCGTGAAGCATGGAGGAGGAGGTGTGATGGTGTGGAGGTGCTTTGCTGATGACACTGTCAGGGATTTATTTAGAATTCAAGGCACACTTAACCAGCATGGCTAGCACAGCATTCTGCAGCGATACGCCATCCCATCTGGTTTGGGCTTAGAGGGACTATCATTTGTTTTTCAACAGGACAATGACCCAACACACCTCCAGGCTGTGTAAGGGCTATTTTACCAAAAAGGAGAGTGATGGAGTGCTGCATCAGATGACCTGGCCTCCACAATCACCCGACCTCAACCCAATTGAGATGGTTTGGGATGAGTTGGACCGCAGAGTGAAGGAAAAGCAGCCAACAAGTGCTCAGCATATGTGGGAACTCCTTCAAGACTGTTGGAAAAGCATTCTAGGTGAAGCTGGTTGAGAGAATGCCAAGAGTGTGCAAAGCTGTCATCAAGTCAAAGGGTGGCTACATTGAAGAATCCCAACTATAAAATATATTTTGATTTGTTGTACACTTTTTTTGGTTACTACATGATTCCATATGTGTTATTTAATAGTTTGATGTCTTCACTATTATTCTACAATGTAGAAAATAGTAAAAATTAAGAAAACCCCTGGAATGAGTAGGTGTCCAATCCTTTGACTGGTACTGTATATATTTACAAAAAAATATGGGGGATTGGAAATGATGCAGACAATTACATTGGTGGAAGCCACAGTATATCTGCAGTGTTAAAGCTGATCTACGCCCTTAAAAAATAATAACAATACAAGTATTGGGTGCCAGATGGCTGGGGTTTGCACTTAGAGGGCTATTCCATTGGTTCTATTGCACAAGGCCAACTCAATTTTTACATTTTAGTCATTTAGCAGACACTCTTATCCAGAGCGACTTACAGTTAGTGAGTGCATACATTTTTTCATACTGGCCCCCCGTGGGAATCAAACCCACAACCCTGGCATTGCAAACACCATGCTCTACCAACTGAGCTACACGGGGCCAGTATGTGCATAGCTTTAAAATAAAGAAAATACTATCTGAACCCAGGTCTGCTACAGTGTTCTGACCTTAGTGCTCTTCTCCAGTACACTATCCAGGTCTAAGTGTTCACTTGAGTACAATAATCATTCAACAAGCTGCCAACAGCCCATCAGAGTCCTACTGCTGGCTCTGTGACAGTTGGACCTGATTCTCACCGCAGGCTCATGGTTCTGTTGTCATATTACCAGTCCATTCTTCTGCTACACTTCAGGGCATCGTCTCATCATCTGAGATATAAATTCAGTGGAACATCTGTGTCTGTGTGTCAGAATGGAAATCCAATGTTGAGAAAATGGTGAGAGGAAGGGAGAAAGAGACAGAGAAATACTGAAATACTGAAATAATTGGAAACATTTCACTTGAATCACCTTCTTACTTTCTTTTTTGACTGTCATTATGAAACTATACTGAACAAAAACATAAATGGAATACGTAAAGTGTTTGTCCCATGTTTCATGAGCTGAAATAAAAGATCCCAGAAATATTCCATATGCACAAAAAGCTTATTTCACTCAGATTTTATGCACAAATGTGTTTGCTTCCCTGTTATTGAGCATTTCTCCTTTGCCAAGATAATTCATCCACCTGACAGGTGTGGCATATCAAGAAGCTGATTAAAAAGCATGATCATTACACAGGTGCGACTTGTGCTGGGGACAATAAAAGGCCACTCCAAATTGTGCAGTTTTGTCACACAACACAATGCCACAGATGTCTCAAGTTTTGAGGGAGCGTGCAATTGGCATGCTGACTGCAGAAATGTCCATCAGAGCTGTTGCCAGAGAATGTAATTATCATTTCTATACCATAAGCTGCCTCCAACGTCGTTTTAGAGAATTTGGCAGTACGTCCAACCGGCTGCAGACCACATGTATGGCGTTGTGTGGGTGAGCGGTTTGCTGATGTCAACATTGTGAACAGAGTGCCCCATGGTGGCGGTGGGGTTTTGGTATGGGCAGGCATAAGCTACAGACAATGACCACAATTGCATTTCATCGATGGCAATTTCAATGCACAGAGACACCGTGACGAGATCCTGAGGCCCATTGTCGTGCCACCTCATGTTTCAGCATGATAATGCACGGCCCCATGTCACAAGGATCTGGACACAATTCCTGGAAGCTGAAAATGTCCCAGTTCTTCCAAGGCCTGCATACTCACCAGACATGTCAGCCATTGAGATAGTTTGGGATGCTCTGCGTCAACGTGTACGACAGCGTGTTCCAGTTCCCGCCAATATCCAGCAACTTCACACAGCAGGAGTGGGACAACATTCCACAGGCCACAATCAACAGCCTGATCAACTCTATGCGAAGGAGAAGTGTCGCGCTGCATGAGGCAAATGGTGGTCACATCAGATACTGACTGGTTTTCTGATCCATGCCCCTACCTTTTTTTTAAGGTATCTGTGACCAACAGATGCATATCTGTATTCCCAGTCATGGTAAATCCATAAATTAGGGCCTAATTAATTCATTTCAATTGACTTATTTCCTTATATGAACTGTAACTCAGTAAAATCTTTGAAATTGTTGCATGTTGCGTTTTATATTTTTGTTCAGTATATATTCATTTTCCTTTTTGGAGTCATAATGCTCTATGACTGCATCTATAAGCTGTTGTGAATGTTTGTAAGGCAATATAACACTTCACAAGAAGGTGCTTCAAGTGAATTAATTGAATTGACTGACATGCTTATTTGAGTTGAGATGTTGTTTTTATGAGCGGTAGCCTCTGTGTCTGGAGACAGTAACAAATGGACTTTTAATGAGGTCAGTAGGCTAGCTGCTCAGCTGTACTGAATATATCATTGGCCTTTTATGCAGAACAGTCCAGCCCAATGCTTTACTACTGAATCACATTCCTTCCTGTTGCTTCATCTCATTAGGGGCTTCAGTCCAGGTGGCTGAGGTAACTCTGATAACGTGCCCACCATGCATATTACGAGGCCTTAGAAATCCAACCAGGTACTGATGTGTTTTAATTTCTCTCTTTCAGGCTTCTGATCAAAAATGGGAACAACATTGACTCTCCTCTGCTGTATGACTCATATGAGGTGGAGTACCTGCCCAACGAGGGCCTGGTGAGCACCTCCAGACCCCTCTTCATAGAGCTCACCACTGACGGAGCAGGCACCTCCACCGGCATCGCTATCAGATACCAAGGTAGACACATCCCCATGGGAGCTAACGCAAGTCTTCAGGTCTCGGTTTCACCTGACCCCCCCTTGACCTTCTCCATCTCACAGAGACCCATCCAGGTCATGGCACCAATGTTACTGACTGGGGTAGAAGGCAGGTTCCCTGTGTGCCACAAGACTAGGCATGGGTAGCTAACACACGTCTCTGGAAAGGGTACTTGGCTATGAAAAGCCAACTGACATTTACTCCTGAGGTACTGACCTGTTGCACCCTCTACAACCACTGATTATTATTTGACCCTGCTAGTCATCTATGAACATTTGAACATATTGAAGAACAATCTGGCCTTAATGGGCTTGTACTCTTATAATCTCCACCCGCCACAGCCAGAAGAGGACTGGCCACCCCTCAGAGCCTGGTTCCTCTCTAGGTTTCTTCCTAGGTGTCTGCCTTTCTAGGGAGTTTTTCCTAGCCACCGTGCTTCTACATCTGCATTGCTTGCTGTTTGGTGTTTTAGGCTGGGTTTCTGTATAGCACTTTGTGACATCTGCTGATGTAAAAAGGGCTTTATAAATCAATTTGATTGATTTGATTGATACTCAAGGATACTCAAACTTCCCTCACACACTCAGTCCAGCAGTGTAAAATTAGTGGAGATAAAAACAGTTGTTGAAGAAATGCATCATGCAGACACTTCCAGGTACTGGTGTAGACAAAAGACACTGCCTCAGGCCCTCTCCTCTCCTTTCCCTCCTCTAAATAATTGGAATGGAAATAAGTCAAACATAACATAACAATTGAAGTCCTCTGCTCTGACTAGTTTAGCTACAAACTCTCAAATGTTTTATCTTTCTCCACGCTCATCCCCAGTCATCCTCTCTACGTATGTGGCAACTCATACGTGGCTTTTCAAAGGGATGTTCAGAGCTTGGAGTCAGAGCCACATCACAGGTCCTGGAGTCATTATCCAATCAGATAAATGTAATCTGTATAGGGCTTCAATTTACTGTAGCAAATGGGATTACGCTGTGAGAGAGCAGTGCTGCTTATTCTAATAGACCGTGTGTGGGTTGTCTTTAACAGCGTTACCCTGTTCAATCTGACACCGGGTGTAACTGCTTTAATACTGCTCCTCTTGCCCTGATTTGAACCATTACATGTGCTGTCAGTCAGTGGGTGGAAGCAGCAGAGCACCAATAAAATGTACCTCCATCCCTGATAGGCAGCAAGCTAACGGGTGGCTCGCTGTCGGCAAAGTCAATGGCCCACTGCCTATGACACACATGGGGCTCAGTGACACAGTCTGGCCTTTTTGCTGTGGTTGATCCACATATCCTCTCTTTCACAGCGTTTGCAGTGGGCCACTGCTACGAGCCATTCGTCAAGTACGGTAACTTCACCAGTAATGACAGCACGTGGGCAGTGGGGACGGTGGTAGAGTTCACCTGTGACCCTGGCTACACCCTGGAGCAGGGCTCTGTCATCATCGAGTGCATGGACCACAACAACCCCCAGTGGAACGAGACTGAGCCCGCCTGCAGGGGTATGCTGTGTGTTTTTGTTCTGTGTAGGAAATGAGCCGTATGATATTGTTGCACAGAGTATTTTTGCTTACTGTATGTGTGTGCGTTTTTGTGTGTGTGTGTGTGTTACAGCTGTTTGCAGTGGAGAGATCACTGACTCTGCTGGAGTGGTCTTGTCTCCTAACTGGCCAGAGGCCTACGATAGCGGCCAGGACTGCATCTGGGGGATTCACGTGGAGGAAGACAGGAGGATCATGCTAGACATCAAAGTGTACGTATCTTAACTATCTCTTACGTTCTACACTACAGATTCTCCTGAACATCAGATATAACATTTTATACAGGAGCAGAAAAAGGATGTTAGCTATGGGAACCCTTTAAAACAACGTGCTGGCAGCACATCCCCTTCCCATAGCAGTTCAAGTGGAGGACGCCCCACCACAGAGTAGCTCTAACCTTTGTAAGAATCTTGACCCTCACACGAGCTCTGCAGCACATCTCTGCACTCAGATCATTAGGAGAAGCTTTACTGCTGATGTACAAACACAGCCCCGACTTCAAACAGAAACTGCCAGTGCAAAGAACTACCCCACTGTGACTGGTTAAACAAATCAAAAGAGAAAAGGGCTGAAGATAAAATAATATGTTTGCTCTTGGATGGGACACATAAGTAGCAGCACACAAAGGTTAATTACCAACTGGAGAGGAAACTAATTATTTCACTGGGGTTCGGACAGAGGTGGTGTGTGTGTGTGTTCTGCAAGATCAGATAGGTTGAGTTGAGCAGAGCAGGGGAGAGGAGCAAGAGTTTTCCGTGATAGTGATGTCAGGTGAAGGCTGGAAACAGAAGACCCTGCTGTGTCAGACCCTGATAGATTAACCATGCGTACAATCATTTGGCTTCCTTAATTAAGAACTGGCTCATTTGCATATGTTGTCGCTCTTGCTCTTTTCTCCTCTCTCTCTTCGGAACGCCTCAACTGTGGTTGTACATTCTGAAGCATTGTAGTAAATGGCATCCTCCATGTTCGGTACAAGAAGCTGTCAACATAATTAATTTCCTATTCATTTAGAGGGGACGTGATTTGGGCAGATATGACTTTCAGGGACAACGGTGAAGAGCGTTCAGCTCAACCTCGGAGCGTTGATGAGAATTCAGCCTTTGTGTGCATGTGGGTGAGACAGAGAGAGAGCTATCTAAGGATAATCTACAGGATTTCCTCCCCATTTCCTCCAGTTTTGATGTGAAAATCAATATCAGCATACGCTGAAAGGTGAACAAGGGGAAATATGAGAACCTAACATCTGCAATCTCAGTTTAAAGGCATCACTCAAACTACTGTTATCCTTCACTACATACTCAAGGAAAGCATTCAGTCTCTGATCATAGTGATGAAACCAGGGCTGCACAAGGAGGGATTATGCTTGGAGTCCAGTCACCTGATAATCTGAACACACAGACTCTCGTGCCATGAACCGCATGTACCATGCCTGATGCCTCCCTCTTGGCCCACTAGTCACGCCAGCATTCTGAAACACCATTGCACGGTATGCTTTCCTAAAGCTCATTACCAGGGTTTAGGAACACTTTACCACTCTCATTCCTCTATAATCATTCATCACCGCCCAGCATCCTGTTCACCGCTCCCACAATCACACAGGACCAGGGTCCCTAATGATGGCTGGTACACTCATTCAGGGGCCCTACTAATGATGACTGGTTCATCCCGACCAACCAGGAGTACTAGCTAGGCGCTCGTTAAGGGCTCAGGTGCAGGAGGAGGGGCTGTGAACGACATGCAGGTGTGGAGGATGGTACACCTGGGGTGTAGTTCAGCAGCCTAAGTTCAGATGCTCCAAATGTTGATGGAGTGCTCCAACGCCTAAATAGTGTTTAGGAGTGTATGGGAATAAGCTGTGCCTCTGCCTTGATTAACTTTGAATATCAGAAATACACATTCTGAATATACACCTGCACACAAACACGCATGCGTGTGACCTTTGGCAGTTCTAGTTAATGTAAATAATTTGCACACATGCATGCATACATTCACGTACACAACCATACCAATATACACACACTGTATATGTCACCCCAGTAGTCCTATGACGTTAATAAGGGAGGAAATAGTTTGCAAGTCAAATAGGATGTGAAAGACAGAGAGTGATTCTGGTAGTTTCCATATTGGCTTCCATTATAGTGTGCTTTGCCTTTGGTGAGAATTTAGTGAGAAGAGTGACAGGATATTTTATGCATCGATGCATCAAATATTAGTTATAGCACTTATACCTTGATTAGGTTTGTCTCCCAGGGCTGGAAGTTGGCAAGAGAACTCATTGGCTTATTCCATCACTAGTATCGCTGATAACTGTGAGACTCTGAGCCTGCTAGTCTGGATACTGTATGTTAGCCTAGCACTGGGAGTTCAGTCGGAGTGAAGGGCAGCGGATCTGGATCCCCGACCAGCCAAGATCTCACAAGCCAGAGAGGAGTGAATTAGAAATGGGATTTTCCATCAGAATATTCATTCAGGTTAGTCTGTGGGAACTAAGAGGTGCAGGGGTGAGATAAAAGGAGAATGTTCTAATGACCATTGGGCAGCCATCATGACTCCCAAATGACTGCGTTTTGTCGAATTGTGATTTGTATTGAGGGGTATTACTTTTACTCAAACTAGTTAGAAACCTTTCATGGACATAAATGTCAAGTTCTCTCAGTGGTCGAGAAGAGAGAATGCCGGTGCAGATGAAGAGTTGTCTGAGATAATGCATTGTGAAGGAACATGGTGGCAGGCAGCTGGGCCTGTGGGCCGAGTCAATCTGAGCCTCTGTTTAAATTACACTAAATCAAATCACTGCCACACAATAGAAAGCATGATTGATTTTCGCTGCAGATACGGCAGCACAGCTATGCAATGACTTGTTTAACTTGATCACAACAAATTTAATGCAAGCTGATACAATTTCTCAATCTGTCGCGCTCTGTTGAGGTGAGATGCATTTTCAGGCCTCAATGAATTACTGCAGGTTTAGCTTTTTCTGGAGCTGCAATACAGATGCATCAGCAGAAAATATCCACTGGGCACACACTGGTTGAATCAACGTTGTTTCCACGTCATTTCAATTAAATGCAACCAAATTGGAATAGACGTTGAATTAACGTCTGAGCCCAGTGGTTAGGCTAAGCTGTGCTGATATTTCATTAGTCTGATACACCTGATCTTTGCCAAGACGTGTGTGCATCATATCTTTAATGTCTTGAAACTGAACTCTGTTTACAGAGAGTAAACAAGTTGACAAGATTGAGACGTTTTTACACTCTCTCTGATATTCATGTCATACAACACACTACTGATACATGACTGCATTACAGCACCAACTTTCTTTATCTCTCTAATTTTTCTGAATATTTTTTCTGTTAAGCTCCAAAGTGATTAATAGTTCAATTGCTTGGCTTGTAATGAGTTTTATCAGGAGCCTCTTGTGATTAATTAGAGACAGGAAAGAGTAACGTGTCAATTCCCTATTCTGGCAGAGAATAATTTCCTCCCTACTAAAACAGGAGGTTTCTTTGCGACAAATTACAGCATGGTTTTGTCACTTTCTTGTCAGTAGAGTGATGGTGCTCCAAAGTAAATGGAAAAGTAAAACAGAACGTCTCAAAGCTAGAACAGTATTTTAGTGAGGGTGCTTTCAAGTTTTTAAAACAGATACAGAAAACAATGACAAAGGAACTATAGGACAAATGAGCTAGTAATGTGAGTGGCCAATTCATTGTGCACGGTGAAATACACTTTCCTTCTGTCTTTGTGCTCCAGCCTCAACATAGGGAAGAACGACCTGCTGACGTTCTATGATGGAGATGACCTGACTGCTAAAGTGCTGGGCCAGTACGGAGGCTCACGGCCACACTTCAAACTCTACACCTCTATGGCCGACGTCACCATCCAGTTCCAGTCTGACCCGGCCACCAACATCTACGGCTATGGCAACGGCTTTGTGGTGCACTTCTTTGGTAAGGCCCCAGAGTGAGTTAGGAGAGACTGTGAACAGATAGTTGAAGATAGAAGGGCAGTGAAGAGGGGAGATGAGTAAGGAGGAGGAGAGTTCGAGAGGGTTCAGGAGGAGCAGACACTCTTAAATATAAAAACCTTCCATGGGCAGAGGGGCCCCTTCCATCAGCACGGTCGGCACGACACCGGAGCGGAGCCAACCCTCTTAAAGCAGACATTTGATAAGACGTAATGAATTCCATGCAGAGAGAGTGAGAAAGAGGACACAGCGGAATACTGATGACTGGGAGAGAGAAGCGTGAGTGAAAGAGTTGAAGAGAGAGAGGGAGAAAGGGAAGGGAGAGAGAGAGAGAGAGAGAGAGTGAGAGGGGAGGGAGAGAGAGAGACAAACAAAGGGAAGGCAGAGAGAGAGATGTGGTTTTATAGTCTGTTCATGCCTCTAACTGAGAGGGAAAGCAAGGCCCAGCCAAGTGGTGCAGCTGTCTGGTGTTGTGCCCATCAGAGGCCCAAACACAATTACTGCATGTGTTTGTCCACATTAGCCTCGTCTGCAGGGTGCCCTGCCCTCTCTGGCTTCTACTGTGGCTAGAACGGGGACAGCCAGGCTGCCTGGCAGACAGACTTCCCCATGCATGGCACTTGTCACATTAGATTGAAATTCCCACAAAACGGATGTCCTCTATTGAGTTTGCCCTGAGGTTCATTCATTTGAATGCAAAAGCACACCACTCAAACTCTGTGCGCTCTGTAAAGTCAGTGGCTTTTTTATCTCGCTCTCTCCCTCCTTCATGGATACAGAGTTGCCTCGTAACGACACGTGTCCGGAGCTCCCAGAGATCACCAACGGATGGAAGAGCACCTCCCACCCTGAGCTGGTCCATGGAACAGTGGTCACCTACCAGTGCTACCCAGACTTCCAGCTGGTGGGCACAGAGCTGCTCATGTGCCAGTGGGACCTGACCTGGAGCGGAGACCTACCCAGCTGTGAGAGAGGTGACTACCACACACACACGCGCACACAAAAGGTGCATTGTAGGTGGGAGAGGCAGTTTCAGTTAAGGACAGGCTAAAGCAGAGGCTGATGGGTAAAAGCATTCACTGCTTTCCTGACAACACAACCCTTTTTTCTGTATAGACCGACGTATCAGTGAGTTGAATAGGCTCTGTGTTCCAGCTCCTCCACACATTATTTCTGTTCTATCCAGACGACCTGGATGTGGTGGAATAGAGACAGGATAGTGTGACAGAGTGCCCTTGGTCCTAGTCCCGTCCCACACAGTGACAGGCACGGCATCACTGACCGGTAACAGGACACAGGGGTTTGGAGCCTTATTTGGACGTCTGTCACGTAAACATTATTATCGCACTGACCCCTATCCTACTGGGCCAAGGATTGGGTTTGTTGTTTGCTGCTGTGAGAGACTGAGACACAGAGATAATCTCTTTATTCTCCAGCTCGGTGGGTTTATATGTCTGCAGGGTTTAATTAGAAAAAGGCCTGTGCACCACTCTGGCCCCATCGGATAACCACAAATAAGCAGTGACAATAAAATACAATAAAATTGTATTCACTGCACATGAGTAAAGTTTTTTCTGTGTCTGTGTGTGTGTGTGTGTCTATGTATGTGTGTGTCAGTGCTGTTGTGTGCCGACCCAGGTACTGTGGAGCACAGTCGCAGGGTGATGTCTGGCCCGCGTTTCACTGTAGGCTCCACCATCCAGTACAACTGCAACAAGGGCTACACCCTCTCTGGAAACAGCCTGCTCTCCTGCTACAACCACGGCTCTTCCGGACCTAAATGGAGCGAGAGGCTACCCAAATGTGTCTGTATGTACCCGCTGGGCTTCAGCCTGATAACACATCTCCATCATACACGCTTCCCAGCTAGCACATGGTTCCTTGGACGGTGTGGGGAGATAAGTTTTTGGTTTCCCATTGCCTCTGGGAACGAAGCCTGTAAAACTGAACGTTTTTTAAACGTTCTGAGAACAGAAGTGAACATTTCGCCTGTTCTGGGAACATACATTTTTAGGTTGCAGGAAGGTTCTGAGAACGTTTTGCTATGGTTCCCTGAAAGTATTCCTGGGAGGTTTTATTACCTTAGATATGCAGTTTCATAAACTATTCTTCATCCTGTAAGCATTACATGGCAACGCGGGAATTTTGATAGCGCACAGGGCTGCGGCCCAGAAGGTTGTGGGTTCACAGACCACCGTGGACAAGAGTAGGGGTGGAAATATCTCCTTTATAGTAAAAGTATTACATGAATCTATCATCGTATTTGCAGGTCAGAGAAAAAATTGCCTTTTATAAACATTTCATGCAATTCTACGTAATTTTACATATTAGCGGAATCCCAAATTACCAACATTACAGGCTAAGAATGGACAGAGAGATAGTCGTATGTGTTCATCTTATCATATTTCTCCAATGCCAAATCAGTGTGTCTTGTTTGCAATGAAACTGTCCCTGTTTGCAAATAATTAAATCTGAGACATCCTTAGGAATCTGAGCATGGTAGGCTACTTTCAAAAGTTAGGCCCACCTTTCCACCCCAGACAGAGTAGGCCTACCGATGCAGAAAAATGTAAGCTTTAACTGCTGGCTACTTTTCTTCCAACCCAACGAGAGAAGGTCACAAGTGTTTCCTTAAAAGCTGTCTGGGTTTAAACTTATTTTATTGTACAGAAAGTGAATAGCTTAATCAATTGATAGTGACAGAATTAGATTACTTCCCAAGCAAAGTCAGCCTCTAAATGTCGAAGAAATGAAACAATGATATCCCCATGTGCATCGGAGTGACGTCTTTCCCTGGTATTTTATAGCTTGTTTCTAGCATAAAGCATTGCGGACCAAAGCGCTGTTAAAGATCACTTTATATAGTCGGATCCGTTTTATTTTCTTTAAAATCTTAAGCTAACAAGGGGTAGGTCTGTGCTTTTTTCAATTTTCTTCAATAAAAAGGTAGGCCTATGGCACACCCGCTCATACCCCCTCAATTCAAGTCTTGGTTTTAACTGAACAGCCCTTCACTGACACAGAGGTAGCCTATTTAAAGAGTACATGGTGGGTGGAGGAATTGACCGACAAATCTATGGATATAGCATATAGCATATAGCTACCTCTTATTTCTTAAATAGGAAGAAATAGGCTCCAACACAAAGCCCTCTTGTTGTTAGTAAAGTCTAATTTAAAATTAAGACTGATTAAATTAATTATGCCTACTCAAATTTGCCTACTTTCAGCACCATGAGCTGTCCATTTCCGATTGATTGTGCCACGGCTGCTGCTTCAAGTTTCAGCACCACAATGTAAGTTACTTGAATCTGTCTTATTGTGAGGTCAATAACTCTCATAAATACATAATGGGCTAGAAACATTGTTTTTTATTAAAATCAATTCTAGTTGTAGCAAGCTATCAAAGTTGACCTCCAGCCTTCCCGCTCTCCTTCTCAAACTGAACAGAACATAGGCTATAGGCTAGTCTGTGCAGCAATCTTAGAAATACATATTCGCTCTGTGGCTCTCCGAGCATGCACTTTGTAGCCTATAGGCTATGGATAATTTGATTGAGACCACACTAAATAGCCTATAGGCACAATTGATATTGCGCGCCCAGCGGAGAATCAGAGATGAGGGGTGGCATCAGGCACACATCCATATATAGCCTAATAAGCAACTAATTCTACAACACTGAGAAATATTGAAATTTCATCAATTACAAATGACGTGAACCTCCCCATGACTAGATTTTTTTTTAAATACAAAAACTGAAAAAACATAACCCTCCCCCATTTTCCTCCAGGTAACCATTCTGTACATTTCGATTAGTGCCTTAGGCATTAATCATGCGAGCACGTTTGTTTTTTATTGTGGCACGGTGTCAGTGAGATTCAAACGTATGATCTTCAGTTCTCTATCCATGGAATTAGTCCACTACATCACCAGGATGGAGCTAGCATGCCATGTTTTTTTAACTCATACAAAGCTGTTCATTTTAGTGTATTCAAACAGACCCCACTTCAAAGGAAACAAGCACTTAATTAAAGTAACTTATTTTGTACATAATATTTCTGCCACTATCTCTTATGACCGAAAAGAGCTTCTGGATATCAGAACAGTGATTACTCACCTCAAACTGGAGGAATACTTTTTCTTTAATGAGTCGGACGCAAAGGATTTACTGCTGCTACCGGACCAGGCCCAAATCCTCGCCATTCGGATGAAGAGACGCCGCCAATACAGTGGACACAGATCCGGGTGCCTTGTGAGAATTTGTTGGCGAGTGGGTAACCTGCCTCTACCATCTGTCCTATTGGCCAATGTGCAATCATTGGAGAATAAACTGGATGAGCTCCGTTCGAGACTATCCTACCAACGGGACATTAAAAACTGTAATATCTTATGTTTCACCTAATGGTGGCTGAATGATGACATGGATAATATACAGTTGGCTGGGTTTTCTGTGCATCGGCAAGACAGAACAGCTACCTCCGGTAAGACAAGGGGTGGTGGTCTGTGTCTATTTGTCAATAACAGCTGGTGCACGAAATCTCATATTAAAGAAGTCTCGAGATTTTGCTCGCCTGAGGTAGAGTACCTCATGATAAGCTGTAGACCACACTATTTACCAAGATAGTTTTCATCTATATTTTTCGTAGCTGTCTATTTACCACCAAAAACCGATGCTGGCACTAAGACCGCACTCACTGAACTGTATAAGGCTATAAGCAAACAAGAAAATGCTCATCCAGAGGCGGCGCTCCTATTGGCCGGGGACTTTAATGCAGGAAAACTTAAATCCATTTGACCTCATTTCTATCAGCATGTAACATGTGCAACCAAAGGAAAAAAAAACTCTAGACCACCTTTACTCCACAAACAGAGATGCATACAAAGCTCTCCCTCGCCCTCCATTTGGCAAATCGGACCATAATTCTATCCTCCTGATTCCTGCTTACAAGCAAAAACTAAAACAGGAAGTACCAGTGACTCGCTCAATACAGAAGTGGTCAGATGATGCAGATGCTAAGCTACAGGACTGTTTTGCTAGCACAGACTGGACTATGTTCCGGGATTCATCCGATGGCATTGAGGAGTATACCACATCAGTCACCAGCTTCATTAATAAGTGTATCGATGACGTCGTCCCCACAGTGACCGTACGTACATACCCCAACCAGAAGCCATGGATTACAGGCAACATCCACATTGAGCTAAAGTGTAGAGCTGCCGCTTTCAAGGAGCGGGACTCTAACACGGACGCTTATAAGAAATCCCACTATGCCCTCTGACAAACCATCAAATAGGCAAAGCGTCAATACCGGACTAAGATTGAATCCTACTACAACGGCTCTGACGCTCGTCGGAAGTGGCATGGCTTGCAAACTATTATGGGCTAAAAAGGGAAGCCCAGCCGCAAGCTGCCCATTGACACGAGCCTACCAGATGAGCTAAATGACTTCTATGTGCCCTTCGAGGCAAGCAACACTGAAGCATGCATGAGAGCACCAGCTGTTGCGGACGACTGTGTGATCACACTCTCCGTAGCCGATGTGAGGAAGACCTTTAAACAGGTCAACATTCACAAGGCCACAGTACCAGATGGATTACCAGGACGTGTACTCAGAGCATGCACTGACCAACTGACAAGTGACTTCACTGACCTTTTCAACCTGTCCCTGACCGAGTCTGTAATACCTACATGTTTTAAGCAGACCACCATAGTCCCTGTGCCCAAGTATGCCAAGGTAACCTGCCTAAATGACTACCGACCTGTAGCACTCATGGTAATGGCTCACATCAACCCCATCATCCCAGAAACCCTAGACCCACTCCAGTTCGCATACCAACCCAACATATCCACAGATTATGCAATCTCTATTGCACTCCTCACTGCCCTTTCCCACCTGGACAAACGCAACACCTACGTGAGAATGCTGTTCATTGACTACAGCTCAGCGTTCAACAACATAGTGCCCTCAAAGCTCATCACTAAGCTAAGGACCCTGGGACTAAACACCTCCCTCTACAACTGGATCCTGGACTTCCTGACGGGCCGCCCCCAGGTGGTTAGGGTAGGCAACAACACATCTGACACGCTGATCTTCAACATGGGGGCCCATCAGGGGTACGTGCTTAGTCCCCTCCTGTACTCCCTGTTTACCCACGACTGCGTGGCCAAGCACGACTCCAACACCATCATTAAGTTTGTTGACGACACAACAGTGGTAGGCCTGATCACCGACAATGATGAGACAGCCTACAGGTAGGAGGTCAGAGACATGGCAGTGTGGTGCCAGGACAACAACCTCTCCCTCAACGTGATCAAGACAAAGGAGATGATCGTGGACTACAGGAAAAGGGGCTGTAATGGAACAGGTCGAGAGCTTCAAGTTCCAAGGTGTCCACATCTCCAACAAACTATCATGGTCCAAACACACCAAGACAGTCGTGAAGAGGGCACGACAACGCCTATTCCCCCTCAGGAGACTGAAAAGATTTGGCATGGGTCCTCAGATCCTCAAAAAGTTATACAGCTCCACCTCGAGAGCATACCACCTGGTATGGCAACTGCTCGGCATCCGACCGCAAGCCGCTACAGAGGGTAGTGCGTACGGCCAGTACATCACTCATGCCAAGCTTCCTGCCATCCAAGACCTCTATACCAGGCGGTGTCAGAGGAAGGCCCTATAAATTGTCAAAGAGAGTCATAGGCTCTCTCTGCTACCACACGACAAGCGGTACTGGAGCGCCAAGTCTAGGTCCAAAAGGCTCCTTAACAGCTTCTAAGCCATAAGACTGCTGAACAGTTAATCAAATGGCTACCCGGACTACTTGCATTGACCCCCCGTTTTTTGAAATTGTATTTACGCTGCTGCTACTCGCTGTTTATTATCTATGCATAGTCACTATACCCCTACCTACATGTACACTACCGTTAAAAAGTTTGGGGTCACTTAGATATGTCCTTGTTTTCGAAAGAAAAAAAAAAAAAAATGTCCATTAAAATAACATCAAATTGATCAGAAATACAGTGTAGACATTGTTAATGTTGTAAATGGCTATTGGAGCTGGAAACGGCTGATTTTTAATGGAATATCTACATAGGCTTACAGAGGCCCATTATCAGCAACCATCAGTCCTGTGTTCCAATGGCACGTTGTGTTTGCTAATTCAAGTTTATCATTTTAAAAGGCTAATTGATCATTAGAAAAGCCTTTTGCAATTATGTTAGCACAGCTGAAAACTGTTGTGCTGATTAAAGAAGCAATAAAACTGGCCTTCTTGAGACTAGTTGAGTATCTGGAGCATCAGCAATTGTGGGTTCGATTACAGGATCAAAATGGCCAGAAACAAAGAACTTTCTTCTGAAACTTGTCCGTCTATTCTTGTTCTGAGAAATGAAGGCTATTCCATGCGAGAAATTGCCAAGAAACTGACGATCTCGTACTACGCTGTGTACTACACCCTTCACAGAACAGCGCAAACTGGCTCTAACCAGAATAGAAATTAGAGTGGGAGGCCCCGGTGCACAACTGAGCAAGAGGACAAATACATTAGAGTGTCTAGTTTGAGAAACAGACACCTCACAGGTGCTCAACTGGCAGCTTCATTAAACAGTACCCGCAAAACACCAGTCTCAATGTCAACAGTGAAGAGGCGACTCCGGGATGCTGACCTTCTAGGCAGAGTTGCAAAGAAAAAGCCATATCTCAGACTGGCCAATAAAAATAAAAGATTAAGATGGGCAAAAGAACACAGACACTGGACAGAGGAAGATTGGAAAAAAGTGTTATGGACAGACGAATTGAAGTTTGAGGTGTTCGGATCACAAAGAAGAACATTTGTGAGACGCAGACCAAATGAAAAGATGCTGGAGGAGTGCTTGATGCCATCTGTCAAGCATGGTGGAGGCAATGTGATGGTCTGGGGGTGTTTTGGTGGTGGTAAAGTGGGAGATTTGTACAGGGTAAAGGGGATCTTGAAGAAGGAAGGCTATCACTCCATTTTGCAACGCCATGCCATACCCTGTGGACAGTGCTTGATTGGAGCCAATTTCCTCCTACAACAGGACAATGACCCAAAGCACAGCTCCAAACTATGCAATAACTATTTAGGGAAGAAGCAGTCAGCTGGTATTCTGTCTATAATGGAGTGGCCAGCACAGTCACTGGATCTCAACCCATTGAGCTGTTGTGGGAGCAGCTTGACCGTATGGTACGTAAGAAGTGCCCATCAAGCCAATCCAACTTGTGGGAGGTGCTTCAGGAAGCATGGGGTGAAATCTCTTCAGATTACCTCAACAAATTGACAACTAGAATGTCAAAGGTCCGCAAGGCTGTAATTGCTGCAAATGGAGGATTATTTGATGAAAGCAAAGTTTGAAGGACACAATTATTATTTATATTAAAAATCATTATTTCTAACCTTGTCAATGACTACATTTCCTATGCATTTTGCTATATTTCCTATTCAAACTCATCTCATGTATGTTTTCATGGAAAACAAGGACATTTCTAAGTGACCCCAAACTTTTCAACGGTAGTGAACATATTACCTCAATTGCCTCGACTAACCTGTACCCCTGCACATTGACTCGGTACCGGTACCCCCTGCATATAGCCTCGTTATTGTTATTTTATTGTGTTACTTTCTTTTTACTTTAGTTTATGTAGTAAATATTTTCTTAACTCTTATTTTTCTTAAAACTGCATTGTTGGTTAAGGTCTTGTAAGTAAGCATTTGACAGTAAGGTCTACACCTGTTGTATTCGGCGCATGTGACAAATAAAATTTCATTTCATTTGATGTGCAATATGCAGGAATCGCAGCGCCATTTGCTGGTTACTAAAATTCTAATAGGGAAAGGGGGATACCTAGTCAGTTGTACAACTGAATGCATTCAACTGAAATTTGTCTTCTGCATTTAACCCAACCCCTCTGAATCAGAGAGTTGCCGCTGTGTCCATGGCTGCCTTAATCAACATCATCGGCGCCCGGGGAACAGTGGGTTAACTGCCTTGCTCAGGGGCAGAACAACATAATTTGGTCGGGTCACCCAAAAAGTGACATATTGTAGCTTTAAAATTTAGCCAATTAGTGGGCTTGGCCAACACACCTGAAAACACTTATCAAGATAGAGGATAGAGTTTTGTTGACGCTGAGAACGGAATTTATATGTTTTTAAATAACATTCTTAGAGTGTTCTTTGAACGTTACTAATGTTTCTTGTGTTTTTTATGGAACGTTTTCTTAATGTTCTGAGAACATGACTTTAAATAGAACCATGAGGAAACCTGCAGAAAACAGAATGCTGAAGTACTGAAATTCCAATAGAAGAACATTGTTTCTTAAAGCCGCAATATGTAACTTTTTGGGGTCGACCCGACCAAATTCACATATAAATGTGAGATAGATCTGTCATTCTCATTGAACGCAAGTCTAAGAAGAGGTAGATCTGTTCTGTGTGCGCTATTTCTATGCCTACTGTGCTTAAGTTTCGTTTTTGTATCTTTTACTTTCGGTTTTGTACATCTGCTTCAAACAGCTGAAAATACAATATTTTTCATTATTGAAAATATATTTCACAGCGGTTTAGATGGTACAAGGTTTCTCTACATGATATATTGCTTGTTTTGTCACAGAAACTGAAACTAGGCAAACTATTCAAATTTTAGAAACCAGGAAATGGCGGCGCGATTCCTGCATATTGCACCTTTAACATTCTCTGAACGTTCTGAGAACATTACTTTAAATAGAACCATGAGGAAACCTGAAAAAAACGTTACGCTGAAGTACTGAAATTCCCACAGAAGAACATTGTTTCTTAACATTCTCTGAACAATTTGAGAACTACTTTAAATAGAACCATGAGGAAATGTTATGCTGAAGTACTGCAATTCCCACCTGTTTTTTTCAGAACGTTATGTGCTAGCTGGGTATCCTGCACCATTCCCAGAACATTGTGGGAAGGTTGTATGCAAAATAACCATAGGACAACCAATCTCTCACCAAGCTCTAAGAAACATGGTTCTCAGAATGTTATGTGCTAACTGGATTGGCAGTGTGTCCAATTCATACAATACAACAAGAGTTTTACTAGCTGTTTACAAAAATAAATGATATGATGAATGTGTGTGTCTGCGTGTGTGTCCTGTCCTCTCCCCTCTCAGCGGTGACCTATGAGCCTTGCAGGAACCCTGGCACCCCGTCCTACAGCACCCAGATCTCAGAGAAGCCTTTCTACCAGGCCGGGGAGACGCTGCACTTCTCCTGCCTCAGAGGCCATGAGTTGCTGGGGGAGCCTGTCCTCCGCTGTGTCCCTGGACACCCTTCACAGTGGAGCAGCCTGCCCCCTGTCTGCAGAGGTAGGAACTGCGGACACACAATCTCCTTTGTAGTTCACACTGGCATTGTTCACAGTAGGTCATGATGAACAATATATCTGTCTGTATGTTTTAACATCTGTGTTCTGATGTTCTCCATTCCTTTACAGCCTCCTCAATGGAGTTTATAAATGAACGCAGGTTAGACGGTAAGTGCCATCATGTCTGCCCAGTAATAGTTAGATCTTTAAATTAAAACATCAAGACAATAAAACTAAATAGAGTACTTCACAGCATCTTCAAGTGTTCTACATTGAAGTGTGCACCTTTAGATTATCATACAAGTTGAGTGTGTCCCTGTTGATTCCTCTACCTCTCTACTCACCAGTTGTCAGTGCAGACTACAGCATGGAGGGAGCCAACATAGCTCTAACAGTCTTTATACCAGTGGCCCTCATCATGGTCTTCATCATCGGGATCTACCTCTACTTCTCTAAGTAGGTCTAGTATGCATACTTTATACAGATTTAAAAAAGACTTTAAAAGTATGAAAGCTGTCATCATTCATAGTACCTAGTAGTCTAACCAGTGCTTGACTTGGACTGAAATAGGTTCCAGTACTCATTTGGGTGCCGGTACTGTTTATATTTAGGTGCAGGTGCTCCACAATGCTTTTGAGCTAATATTCTATAAGAGGAACAGGAGCTCAAGCAGTAGAACACTTGAGGGGCCGGTACTCAGCTCCAGTGAGCTCCTGCCCAAGTCAAGCACTGAGTCTAACCAATAGCTATAGACCCAACAGGTTCTGTAATAATGTTGTAAGTATACTATGCTGCCCTTGTGACACTATGTGTGTGTTCTCTAGGGTTCAGGGGAAGCCTCTGTGTCTTCCCATGTCAACCTCCTCACCATATGACCACATCCCAGGAGAGTCCACCTTCGACAACTCCCTCTACGAAACAGAGACTACAGTATGTTCTGTTATAGAGATATTCACTGGTTCTTTAAGATGCCTGTTGGAATTAGTAACCCCCCAAAAAGGTTGAATTCAGGCACTGTCATTTGCCATATTGCAGGTTCATTCACCAAATCTAATTTCCCGTAAAGTGATGTTATAGAAATAGGATTGAGGGGTGTAAAGCTATACTCCATTCACCTTCAGTCATTGACAAGGACCATTTCATTACACCTGATGCAGACAAAAGGTTGCCTAGTTAATTTGACAAAGCATAGCTTTATTATTTGACAGAGTGCTATGGCATGGTTATCAAATAGTATTTGAAAGATGTCAAATATTTTACCCAGGTCTGATGCTTGCATGCTCATGCTTTCAGATAACTAACGATTGTCTGTCTGTCTGTCTGTCTGTCTGTCTGTCTGTCTGTCTGTCTGTCTGTCTGTCTGTCTGTCTGTCTGTCTGTCTGTCTGTCTGTCTGTCTGTCTGTCTGTCTGTCTGTCTGTCTGTCTGTCTGTCTGTGTCTGTCTGTCTGTCTGTCTGTCTGTCTGTTTCTCTATCCTTCCATGACTGCACTCCTGAAGAACAACGAGGTGAGACCAAGCGCTAGGCTACAACCTGCCTATTAAGCCTCCAGTCTGTCTGTCAGTCAGTCTTCATTAATTCCACACTCTGATTCTGCAGCCTGAACCTATTACACAGTGTGAGCTTATTGAACTAAAGCCCAAAGTAGGTTGAACACATTTAAAAATGGGTCAGAAGAGAGGGGTAAACCTCTCAAATCAAATAAAAAATCAAATAAAAGTGTATTGGTCGCATACACAGTTTTGCAGATGTTATCACAGGTGCAGCAAAATGCTTATGTTTCTAGCTCCAACAATATCTAGCAATACACACATAATCTAAAAGTTAAAAAAAGAACAAGGATGAACAAGAAATTAAGACATATCAGAACGAGCAATGTCAGAGTCTGGAATATAAATAAATATATACTGGATGTATGTGAATGGTGTGTATAGACAATGATGTGCATAGACAATTCCAAGTCATTGTCCCCTCTCTCAGGTGAAAATGGAAACGCCTCACAGTTTGGGCTGACCACCTCCACACACTAAATGTATCTCTGTGATATCCCTATCATAGTCTACAAACAGATGTCTGTTATCACATGGCTTGTTCACAAAAAGAGGAATGGCCTTTGTGATCATAGTAGGAATATGATCTACTGTACTTCTCAGTCTCACTATACCTTCTTGTGTACACGCTTGTCCGTAATTCAGAACTCTGTCCTCATTTCACAGGACACAAGAGAGTATGAGGTTTCCATCTAGAGGCACGACCCCCCCCCCCCCCCCCCCCCCCCCCCCCCCCACACACACACACACACCTCTCTCCACTTGCCTCCACCTTTTCCTCTGTCTACTGAACATATCTCTGCCCAGCCCACAGTGGAAATTGGCAATCACTGCAAAGACTGGAAAACATGATTATTTTTGTAGAGCTTCAACAGCAATGGCCTAACAGCAGTGTTTGTACAGTTTTTATCCTGATATGATCAAACCCTAAAGACGTCAGTCCAATGTGGAACCTCACAAACGGGAAATGCTGAGGTTGTATCTAGTCCGAAAAATAGAATGTGTAAATACAACAGGATATGTTTTTCACACAGCTTGTAGGGCATTTTTATTTTGAGGCAAGGCACACCACAAAAGAGCTAGATTGTTCAAGTGATGATTGGAGGGATATCATAATAACTTGATGGACTCTTAAACCTTTCAAATACAATGGACAATTGAAACATCCATTTTGTACAGTATCTCCAAATTGTAAAGATGACCCTCTCAAAAACATGTAAACACACCTCTTTTTTTTATGCAACCTCCTATGATTAAAAACATCTGAATGTGCCTTAAATTGAAGGCCCTTATTAAGCAATGTTCATATCATGTATATTTCTGATACGTCATTGGTTCTGATATTACATTGTTGATTTCATATGGATCATAAAATAGAGATATAGTAATGCAAAGAAAAAGTAATCGAATTTCTTCTCATTCACTTTTTTGTTCACAAAATTGTATGTATGTCTTCAACATGCTGATTAAAAGGTATTCATTCATGATAGTGGATTGGTATACAAAACATGTCCTCAATAAAGTTATTATTCAAAAAAAAAATGCCACAATCTTATTCATTCATTTATTAAGGATTACTGGTTCACTTAAAGATGCATTTGACCTTTTTGCCCTCTGAGTCGTTCATCTGAATTTGCCCTGATAAGTATACATGAATAAAGCAGTGCTGAAGGAAGCAAGACCTTCCTTGAAAGAAGTGGAGAAAACCGCATAACACCGAGAAAGAAGTGGAGAAAACCGCATAACACAGAGCAAGCGCACTGGAGGAAGTTTTTGTCAGATGACCTATGCTCCTCAATGAGTCAAAGTAAGTCAAGTATACATGAATGGAGCTACCTCTGACAGTGTAGAGGGTTTGGGGTTGGAGGTGTAGCAGACTCGTGTCGGGTGTGGTGGTGTAGTGTACTAGTTTGTAGTTCAGAGTGTAGCAGACTTACGCCCGGTGTAGTGTACTAGTGTGTAGTTTAGACTTAAGCAGATTTACGCCCAGTGTAGCGGTGAAGGTGTGGTCTTCCCGTATAGGCTACATAAATGTATACTGTTCCCTATACATTATCTTTGACGCTATAGACCCTTATACCCACCCTGGGTAAGATTACCAGTGTAGACAAGACCATCAACATGCACTGTGGTCTGGTACCATCTATAGTTAGGTAATTTATATTCGAACAGTAGTCTAACATTTTCTGTTATAAGCAGACATTTGTAACAGACAGCGATGGGGAATATATTAAAAACTGCTGGGGAAACTTTGACTCGCTGTATGTTTGTGGCTCACACTATTGTCTTGTCATGTAGCACCTGCACCATCTACTGGTCACCAAAAATACTGCAACTAAGGAGCGGTTTAACTTGAAAGTCTAGAAAATGTTGTGGACTCTGTTCGTAACAAATTATTTTTTGGTCACATAACCTGTATTGCGATTAGATGTTGCCTGATCTGTGAGAAAAAAGCAGAATGTTGACCCAGTTTTATCTTGCTCCATCGTTTTCCTCTGCCACTGAACTTCCACTTTTAACCAAATATAGTAAGGATAGGAAGCATCGATATAGATATAACATTTGTCAACAGAGCAGACACACTGGCACCTGGTTTACTAAAATGGGGGGACTGGACAAAAAAGTGCTTATGGTAAAATATGCTGACAAATACTCCCCAAATAAGACAACATTATGTACAGTACTAGCTATTCTCATTCATTCAAATTCAATTTTTGGAGTAGCCTAATATCAAAAATAAAAACTTTGATTAGCCCAACCGGCCACCAAGTGGCGCCATTATTCATGTTACGGCGTTTACGAAATAAAAGGAATAATCCTGGCATCATGCGGCCGGTTGGGCAAAACGTTGATCTAACTGTGTCCAAATAGATCGTAGCCACCGTAGCGTTGGCTACATTGAATTGAAATTAGGTGTAATTTTGCTCCAAGCTTCGTCGGTGGTCAGTCATCAGGAGGGGAAAATAGCTCGTTAAAGCGGAACATGATGCAGGCTAGGCAAACGTGGTGTAGTTAGCTAATGGCTGTTATTTCACAATTTAGCAGCTCTAGCTAATATGAATAACGTTAGCTAGCCAGCTGATAGCTAGCTAACGTTACCTAAAAACGGGATGAAAACCGCAACCAAAGATTATGATAATTTAATAGTTTAGTCTTTGAGGGCTTCCCTAGCGGCATGACATTTGTATTCCTTTCTGTCGTCGTCTCTAGTTACCACAGTCAAAAAGTCGTAATAATGGTTAAACCCCGCCTTTTTCTACAATTTATCTTCTTAAAATCTGCTTTTAAACCAAACCTTAACCACACTGCTAACCTTATGCCTAACTCTAACGTTAAATTAAGACCAAAAAGGACATTCATTAATTTTTACGATATCCCCAATTTTGACTTTGTGGCTGTGTTAATTAGTGACAACAGTTTCTCTGCTGCGGCGGCCATGTTTTTCAACAATCTTGAAATGCGCATGCTCAAACGTAACTTCATTCGCGGTTGCGCCAACTCGGATAGGATGTTGCCACTAGCAGCATTGATGCATAGGATTTTTCAGAAAAAAAATACCTTTCTTGAGGATCCTGCACTGTTGGAAGAATAACAACAAAACGCATTTTGCAACCCTAGGTTGGGAAGAACTCTTAACGTTGCGAGCATTTTACATTTTGTGTATTCTGACTGTTGACAATGCAAAGTGGAAGCGAGCGGGTTTGCAGAATTTTCAAGCGTCTTCTAATCTTAGCTAGTAGTAGGAGCAGCAGGAGCAGAAACAAGTATCATGGCTAGGCCTCACAGATACATTCACAGTTGTTCAGCAACCTGACAACAAGACAGTTTAGAAAGGCTCAAAGTTTAGGTTTGTGAGAAACTCATAAAATTCGTGATATTCTTGCCAGCAGTTAGCAAGCAAACATTGCTTGATGGCTGGTGTGGCTAATTAACGTTTGGTAGCTAACTGTTAACCTTGGCTGGTTCCGTTATTCCCTCTACAATATACAGTAATAGACAGAGAAAGGCAATTTGCAGTAAACAAGTGTGGGGAGGGGTTCGGCAAAACCACTGCCAGTGGGACTGGGCGTGGAACGAAACTAGCTAGCTACAGTAGCTGGTTCCATAGCCAGAATTATTTGCAAGAAGTCGTCGACTGCTGGGTGAATGTGGGACAAAATGGAGACGCCAACGATTGTGTATGATTTGGATACCTCTGGGGGTGTAATGGAGGTGAGGCATTTCACCACATAACGTTACTTATGTCCGTTAAAATGCAACTATTTAAGTTTGTTAGGTTTCTAGCTAGCCAGCAAAATGGACATGGTTAGCTAGATACTGTAGCAAGATGGAAGCAAATAGCTAGCTAACGTTAACTATATTTTGTGGCTGTGATGTCCTAACGCCGTTGGCTAGAATGAAGTTGAAGACAACACCCATCTTTGCAATGTGTAGCTAGCTAATTTATGGGAAACGTTGTGCTATTACTCTAGTTATAGCGTAACTAACATTTTAAACCATATTTTAGTTGCCAGCAGTTTTGATCACTGCTGCAGACTAAACGTTACAGTAAAGGCCCTAGCTTCCTGCAGGAGGCTAGTATAAAAAATGATCTGTTACTGACATGATACTGAATCATACACTGTTTTTAGCTTTATTCGTTTGATGTTTTTGCAACCAAGTAAACAAACCTAAATGGGCAATGAAGATAGTACAATTTGGCGATTCAGATTTCTCAGACATGTTCAACTTGTTACAGCAAATTCAAACACTGCTCGCACCCCCCAAGTCAGAGGATGGCGAAAAGAGGAGTCGGAGGAGTGAAAGGGACGTTCGGAGAAAGAGCAGGGCCACCAACCACGACACCTGTGATAGTTGTCATGAGGGAGGGGACCTTCTGTGTTGTGACCATTGTCCTGCTGCCTTCCATCTACAATGCTGGTATGTGTGAAAAGTATGCTTGTATCCCACTAGCTTGGGAAGGATCATGCATGATTTACTGTATTCAGAATGACTCTGCGGCTCTCCTGTCTAGACAGCCCACCTTCAACAGAACCATGCCAATGTGCAAAATACCACACATGAGATGCGTTAAGGGGGGGGGGGGAATTGTTTTGTCAACCATTCTAGGAAGATGGTTGTGACACAGCAACCAGGACTTGGTTAAAATTTGCCGCCTAATGGTTGTAACCAGCCCCCGCCTCGGTCTGCATGTCTCCAGGCATCGTCACTCACCCGCTCTGACTGAGACGAGAGAGCGCTGGGAAACGCTGGCTAAAAATGGAGTCGAGGCTGCTCTTCGCTCGTGTGCCTCTGTTTACAATATGGCGCCCTCCCTTGAAAAAACCGTTTTATTCCAGCGCCATTTTACTGACATTGCTCTTGAGTTTTAACAGGAATATAATTATGATAATACAGCTGATCTAACGTGGTTATAACTCGACTTGAGATGAGCATATTATTCTTTGTATTTCGGGGACTCAGACATTTGCACCACACAGCTGTGCAAGATCAATCATGTTGGTTGGTAGCTACAGTTTTCAGTATATGATTCAATAGTGCAGGTTTTGGTTGTGAGCTAGGCTACAGTGCAAGGCTTTCCACCGACAGGATTGAGGATAATCCCGGTCTTTGCAGAAATATAACATTTGCATATCCCTTGTGTGGTCATTGACTGTAAAATTTGACGTGATATAATTTAATTTACATACTATAAATCGGAGTAGATAGCCAGAGCGAATTTACAAACGCAGCCTAGATTAAAAACATCTGAATGCGTTCCAACAATTCATTATGATATCAGGCTGTATAAACTGCGCGATGGAATAGAATAGAGTTTATGAGCATCACAGCCAGGTGATGTATTCGAGACCACCTAAAGCGAGACCAATTCAAGACAATGATTGTAATTGTGTGAAATCGGCAAGATAACAGTTGAAAATGTTCTGTGTTCAAATTTAAAGAACATAATTGCTTCTTTAGACATTCAGAATGGTAAAACTAAATGCATGCTGAGGGCAAATAGAGCCACTCTACATATTACCAGTAACCCAGGTCTATAGTATGGAGAGAAAAAAAGAAAAAAAAGTATGCACTCACTAACTGTAAGTCTGGATAAGAGCGCCTGCTAAATAACTAAAATGTAAATGTATAATAGATACAAATACAAAAGTTTGTTACAACTTCCCCCGGTCTCCCCTTACTAACAGTGAGCATGCCACTTTCAAACAATTTCCCTCACTCTTCCCTTGAGGTGCGCGACAAAGTTTGACGACATTTTTCAATTAAAGTAAAGGACACTAATGTTACCAGTAAAGTAGGAAGGCCAGGTTTCAATAGGCAATAAGAAATTGTCGTGAAAGGAGTGTGAGTATTTGGCCTGGCGAAATGGCTTTATGCGCTGACTGAATGGGGGCTTGTAATTGGGAGTTTTTTACTCCGCTGGTCTCGGGAAGAAATTACGAGTCCTCATTGTAAAAATGTATCTGACACCGGTCTCGAGTAAAACGTTGTTGTGGGCCATGTTAGTAGTGCTTTCATTTCCTGCATTAGTGATTTAAAAGTTAAATAATGACTAAGTCTTCTCTTGTTAAGACAAGTGGGCATGCTAGGCAGTGTCACATTAAGCCCACTAGATGGAGACAGGCATTTAGAAAAGAAGCCATTCTAACAGTAAACACTCAAGCCTGAAAGTAGGGTTTGGCATTCGGTGTTAAAAATTGTATTTTGGTGTGATTTACACGTTGTTGTTATATTTCAAAACATAGACCTATTCCAGCACAGGTCATCACTCCCCTTCACCCCTATTATGGCCTATGCCTCAAAAGTGCATAGATGCTCTGACCAATGGGGTATTGTGAGTTGTTTGGCATTAGACCTTATAAAGCTTACATAGCAATTGATCCACAGTTGACCTATAAATGAAATGACTGTAGCGTGTAGGTCTTTTTTTTTTTCTTGCTGTTTCTTTGTGGTTCCCACAGTAACCCACCATTGAGTGAAGAAATGCTGCCCCCTGGTGACTGGATGTGTCATCGCTGCAACGTCCGCAGAAAGGTGAGTGTTCAACAATACATGATGATACATGATGATGCTCACAACAGAGAAACGTTATTATGTTTTAGATGTGTTAGCCTGTTAACACCCATTTTCAATGTATCAATACGAGTCACACTATTTTAACCACCCTAGTGGTGGTGAATACTGTCTGAACCTAGCTGGTCCCTGACTCTGCTATCTGACTGTCACCCCCAGAAGCGTGAGCAGAAGGCTGGGCAGACAAATGGCCTGCTGGAGAGGGAGAGGCCCCTCTCCAAGTGCTCCTCCTCCCCTGCAGCTGAGCTGGAGCGGGACACCACCACCATTACCACCACAACGCTGCGTCTGGACAGGCTGCCCCCCGGGGTCGGAGCAGCAGGACCCGGGCTGCGGGTGGCTGCCGTGCATCTCGAGCGTCTGGAGCGCTTTGAGCGGCGGGCTGGCAGCCGACCGGGCACGCCCACCTCCAACGCCTACTCCACGGCCACCCCCTCGGAGGAGGAGGAGGTGGTGGCCCAGGGCTCAGAACCTGAACGAGCCACCACCACCCCTACCCCCACACCACGGCTCCTCAAGAGGCCCTTCCAGCTGCTCATCGCCGCCGCCATGGAGAGGAACCCCTCGCAGTTCCAGCTGCCCAACGAGCTCACCTGCACCACAGCACTGCCAGGCAGCAGTAAACGGAGGAGGAAAGAGGAGCTGATCATGAAGACTTTCAGGAGGCCACAGCATGAGATTGACCCCAATGGCCTCATTCCTCTGCCAGTCAGGGTGTGCTTCTCCTGCACTAGGTATGACCTTTCCTACCAATAATTTGTCAATCAAACCCACAATGTTGTCATTACACAGTTATAATGGGCGGCAGGTAGCTTAGTGGTTAAGAGCGTTGTGCCAGTAACCAAAAGGTCGCTGGTTCTAATCCCCGAGCTGACTAGGTGACATATCTGTCGATGTGCCCTTGAGCAAGGCACTTAACCCTAATTGCTCCTGTAAGTCGCTCTGGATAAGAGCGTCTGCTAAATGACTAAAATGTAAAATATCAACTAGGGCTGTTGCGGTGACCGTATTACAGCCACACCGGCGGTCACGAGTCATAACGGCAGTCAAATTCCACGTCACCATTTAGTCACGATAATTGGGCATCTCCAAGCTCTGATGCTGCTGATGGTCATTGGTAGCCTACCAAACTTGCTAACTGCCTGGTACTCAGCACCAGGAAGTTAATCACTCTGACATCAATGCAAATGTATTCGAAAATCTAATCAAACGTGAGAACCCATGAGCTCATGTTACACAACATTTCTATAGACTATGCAATTGTGATGAGAAAACAGAGTGATGGATCCCATCAGCTTTCTATGATTTAGTATATGTAAAGACAAGATTAAATCAAGAATAGTCTGATGGGTGACAATATTATCACTTGTGAATGATATATTATCACTTGTGAATTATGCCCAGCTTGTGTGCAGTAAGGCAAGAAACAGCACATTCCTTTTTTTGCGACTTTTCCAAATCATAGTCGCACACCTCATGTAGCCTAGCCCATAGGCCTATATGTTTTGATAAGGTTTGTATCACAAATGTTGTATCAGCCTCACAGCCTTTTTTGGGATCAATCGCATCCAACAACTGTCCCGACTATGTTTGTAATGTTTATTTCTTGCACAGAATAGAATAGGTCAGCTTTTGTACTATGGGGGATAGTAGATTGACATAGGTTAGTGCTGTTCATTAGGCCTACTCATCTTGTTGGCTGAGGAAAGTAAATGTGGACAGTTCTTCCAATATCTTCAATATGCGCCTCGGAATTGGATAAGGACACGCGCAGTTGCGTCCTCGATGTATCTGTCTTCACTTGTAGCCTGTGAGAGAGACCCGATCACGTGACAGAGAGCCATGTGAGGCGCTTCAGAACACCCAGCCGGGAGAAGGGAATTATAATGAATATATTCAGCCCAAGGACAAATCGGCCACTGGCCGCAAAAGGCATGAATTTTTTTTAGGGGGCATTATGGCCACTCAAGGGGGATGCCGCTGGGAAATTCGTGGCATTATCAAGTGCTTGTCAAATTGTGAATGAGAGACTGATGTACAGCCTGCGCAAAAAAACAAAGCAGAGCTCATGCCTTTCATGCAACTTTTTTCAAATCATCAATAGTCGCATCATGCAGCCTTAGAATGTATAAAAAAATCTAAACATTAAGCCCAACGTTTGTATTGCAACTAAAGATACATAAATAACTCTAAATTAAGCATATAGGAGTACCTGTTTCTTTGTTAACCGCTAAACACAGAATAGCCACATGTGCGCGCTCCCTCAAATCATTTGGAGAAAATATCCTTTCTATTTTATTCAGCTATGTTCAATTGTATTCTTCATACAATAAAATAATGCCATGGAATTCTAAGCAAATCTTGTCTGCTAAATGAACTAGTGTAGCCCACAGCCGTATGACATAGCCAGATCAGGACCTAACATAAGGACAACTCAGAGTATGCTATTCTGTTCTTCTGAAATAGACTACATTTTCTTCATATCATGTTTCTTTAGACCTGTCTAAAATAAATTATGGATTTATTGCGATGATGTAGGCTATATTACATGGATTTATTAACTTTTTTAAATGTAGACGTCCAAACGTTTGCATCAGTGGCTTTTAGGCTGTGTGGAGAAGCCAGGAGATGCTAAATGTGTTTATGTTAATTAACAGTCAATTACCGTGAGACCGGCAGTTATTTGCTTGACAATTGCCAGCTGACGAAATGTAATAACTGCCACAGCCCTAATATCAACACAGCTTTTTCATATACAATCTGTAATCTAGTTGGTTGGCTGACTTTGATAGTCCAAGCTCACTGCCTCCTCTCTCTCCTCCTGTCTATCCTATAGGAGCTGCAGAATGGCACCCCTGGTTCAGTGTGACTATTGCCCCCTGCTCTTCCACATGGACTGCCTGGACCCCCCACTCACTGCCATGCCCACAGGCAGGTGGATGTGCCCTAATCATATCGAGCACTTGGTGGTAAGAGCAGCCAACCCCCCGGCATCATCTGGTGTTCAAGCATCCTCATGCATGGAATTGGGTTTCAGTATTTTGGCAGGCCTAAATAAATAAGGATATGGTGATTTTTAGACCGGAATGGCTCTGTTTTCTCTGTAAAGGGATTAGGGTTTGTAGTTGTGTTTGGGCGATATCAAGCATCACCAATAATTATTATTGCCTATTGTGATATCTCTCAACAATAGTATGTAGAAGTTGTTCTGTTACTGACGTGACCTGTTCTCCAGCTGAGCTTTAGGGTCTGAAAACTTGTTACAAGTGCACAGGGTGTCGGGCTAGGGGTTGATTCAGGGATAGACGTCGCTCTGTTCTTGACATGGCCTCCTGTCCTGTTCTCCAGCTGAACCAGAGGAGCCTGTCCTTTACCAGCCGCTGCCAGCTCTTAGACCAGTTCCAGGATAGGATATCCCAGCATGCCGTCAAGGTGGACTTCCTGCGATGGGTCCACCGACAGAACCAGCCTGTCCGTAGCGGTGTCCACCACAAGACGAAGTCGCTCAAGGTAGCTTTCGCCCACTGAGTCTGTCCGAGTGCTTGTCTTCACTTTGAAATGATGATGAAAAGACAGATTTTCAACAAATTATTGATTTGTCAACTAAGCTGCTTCAGCTTAACCACATATCCAAAAATGTGTCCTCTTTAAGAATTAATTAATTTAGAAATAGATTAACCACATTGGGACTTCACTGTTCCTGTAAATAATATGTGTGTGTGTGTGTGTGTGTGTGTGTGTGTGTGTTTGACCCTCCAGGTGCCCGATGCTATTAAGTCCCAGTACAAGAACCCCCCAGCCATTTTGGCTCCTGCAGGGGTGCGTAACAGGGAGCTGATCTGTAATGGTGTCCCAGACCAGGACTGCCCCCCACGCTCCCCTCAGCATTTTACCAGCCAGGCGGAGCAACAGGAGGTAGGCATGGCATGGCAGACACAGCATAGACCAACACACGCTAGTATCTGTCTACTACACTGAGATTCATCTAAAGCACTTGACTTTTTCCTGGCCCAGCTAGGAGCATAGGAGACATGGGTCCAGACATGATAGGGATTAATTGCCAATTATTTAATGTGTTAATAACTGTAAATTGATGTTTATTTGGGGAGTTACTGGACTTATGAAGGTGCTTGTTCTTTTCACTGAACTGTTATTTTTTTCTTCGTTGTTCAGTGGCTTCGAGACGTCATCTCGCTCCAGTGCAGCATCATGCGACATTTATCTGGCAAGCAGAAGTCCTCGTCTGACTGGGACTCTGAACAGACAGACAAGGAACAGAAAGACATTAAGCCCTGTGTGGCTCTAGAGGAGAACAGCTCTCTGCCACTTGCAGAAAGGACAGCTTCAGCCCTGCCTGCCCCCTGCTCTAAGCCCTGCAGTACATCTGATGGCCCCCAGGGGGCCCAGGTACTGAAGGGCCTCTCGCGGGGCCAGGAGAGCTGCAGCTGCACGGTGAGGCCCTGTCAGAACTGTCTGAAGTGCAGGAAACCCAACGGGCCCCTGACTGAGCAGCCTGTGCAAGCCAACGGGCCGGTAGTGTGTGATGCTGCATCTGACACCTGCAGACAGACAGGGCTCCAGTTACACAGACTCACCCCCCCAGCCCCACTCCCAACCTCTGCTCTGGGGCTGCCCAACCACCTGAAAGGAGGGGTGGTGGTTAAAATGGAGAGGGGCAGCCACCTGGAGTCTTGCACCCAGAAAGGCTGTCCCCCTTCCCTTTCGACGTGTGTAGCCACAGGGCAGGACGTCAAGAGCCAGGCCCACGGGACTCCTCAAGGCATGGCAGGGGCTCAGGCCACCCCTCTGAGCCGCTGCAGTGAGCTGAAGCTCTGCCCCAGCCCCACCCCAGGTGTCCATGTCTTCACCCCACCCAAAGCCGTCAAAGACTCCAGCACAGCAAGACAGCCCATCACCACACCACCTGGTTTCTCCCCAGGGCCAGATCTAAAGGGCAGCTCCATGTTCCCCAGCTCTCTCTTGTCCTCCATAGCAGACCTGTCTGGTGGCATGAAGGCCGTGATGGAAGGGGATGGAGGTAAGTAGCTACCTCAACCCCATTCTACATGTACCATTGTTTATAATTAGGCCTAGGTGATGTGCACCTCTCGCTGTCCAGTTTAAAAATGTGTACTTTATTCAACAACAACAAAAAGTTAAAACATTGCATTAATGTTTCGGCCATGCTGGTCTTCTTCAAAAATAGTGATGATTAAATGGCCTGTAATGCTGCTGACAGATGATGGCTGTGATACAGGATTGCTTCACGTGAAGTCTATGTTGACGTTGAAACATGCTGATGTTGTTCATGCAGAGATCGAACTGAGTAAACTGGATGAGGAGTTGGTCAAACTCCTGGCCTGGCAGAGGATACAGCAGTTGTTCCCCCCCAAAGCGCCACCAATCCCCCAAGGCAGCTGTGTAACCGTTACCCCTCCTCCCACCACCACCGTCGCCCTCAACCCTCAATCTCCCACGCCACGCACAGAGGGTAAGCCCCACCCCCCTCCAACCTCACGTCTGGCAGTTTAATTTTAGTGTCATAGGAATGTTAGAAAATAAAATGTCATTCTGCCACAATCTGTCCCCATCACAGAACAACAGAAGGTGCAGGCAAGAGCAACGTTCTATCCACTCATGGGGAAGGGAGGAGCCATCAACATGTCTTATAGGACCCTGTACATAGGAGCTGGTAAGGACCACCCATGCTGTGTTATGAAATACTGTGATCTTTACTCAACATGGGTCAAAGTCTCATCAGTTTTTCTCTCTCTGACAACCAACTGTAGGTGCTGACATGGATGTGTGCCTTACAAACTATGGGCATTGTAATTATGTATCTGGAAAACACGCCTGTATCTTTTACGACGGGGTAGGTTTTCTATCCTGTTTGAGACACTGAAAGCTTGCCGAACAAAAATGATTTTTCCCATTGCTATGACCTGAGCAGTGAGCACTATTTTAAATAGCAGTAGCACTACAGACAACATGACTGATGGTTATCTTGTACCTGTGTGTAGAACACCAAGCACTACGAGCTGCTCAACTACAGTGAGCATGGAACCACTGTGGACAACGTACTCTACTCCTGTGACTTCTCTGAGAAGGCCTCCCCCAGCCCGGCTAGTGGCCTGGTGTCCAAAGTGCAGGGCATTGTCCGTAAGTAACACACACACTCAGCATATGTCAACATTTGGGTGGGTGTATGTCCCTTCACCATAAACCTGTAGAGGCTGGGTGTGTGTGGTTTGGCCAGCCCTGTGTGTCTGTAGGAGACTTGTGAGTGACAGTGCCCTCTTTCTTCAGGCCGCTGTAAGATGAGAGAGCAGGAGGAGGAGGGGGCCGAGGCTGGGCCCGGGCACAGGACTGGTCTGATGCCATCGGGGGGACTGATGAGCTGCCAGCCCCAGGGAGGACCCAGGCTCTCCTGTAACTGCAAGGCCAGCAGTTCCAGCCTGATCGGTGGCAGCGGGGCCGGCTGGGAGGGCACAGCGCTGCTCCACCACGGCAGCTACATCAAACTGGGCTGCATGCAGTTTGTCTTCAGCATTGTTGAGTTCGCCAGCAAGCAGCCCAAAGAAGAGGGAACCACTGGCACCGCCAATACCACCCCCAACCAAGAGGGGGCAGACAAGCAGACTATCAAACTCCACCAAGTGCAACTCTGTTCCATAGCCCAAACTCTCTCTTTCTCATCTCTTTCCAGTCAAACCTAAGGGAAGCCTAATGGGAGCTGGTTGTTACACAGGGAAAATATATATTTTAATTTATTTTGTTAATACTTAATTTCATGCAAAAGTATAATCTCAAATATGTTATTTCGATTGACTGAAAAATGTCACTTATTTTTGGCAGTCTAGTTATGTATGTATGTGTATATATATGTGTGCCTTGCAAAAGTATTCATCCCCCTTGGCGTATTTCCTATTTTGTTGCATTACAACCTGTAATTTAAATGTAATGGACATACACAAAATAGTCCAAATTGGTGAAGTGAAATGAAAAAAATAACTTATTTCAAAAGATTCTCTATAATAAATAACGGAAAAGTGGTGTGTGCATATGTATTCATTCACTTTGCTATGAAGCCCCTAAATAAGATCTGGTGCAACCAATTACCTTCAGAAGTCACATAATTAGTTAAATAAAGTCCACCTGTATGAAATCTTGTAAAGTGGTTATCCCACTGGCTATAGGGTGAACGCACCAATTTGTGAGTCGCTCTGGCTAAGAGCGTCTGCTAAATGACGTTAATGTGCCCTTGAGCAAGGCACTTAACCCTAATTGCTCCTGTAAGTCGCTCTGGATAAGAGCGTCTGCTAAATGACTAAAATGTAAAAAAAAAATTGTAAAATGTTACATGATCTGAGTGTACATATACACCTGTTCTGAAAGGCCCCAGAGTCTGCAACACCACTAAGCAAGCGGCACCATGAAGACCACGTAGCTCTCCAAACAGGTCAGGGACAAAGTTGTGGAGAAGTACAGATCAGGGTTGGGTTATAAAAAAATATATTCGAAACTTTGAACATTCCACGGAGCACCATTAAATCCATTATTAAAAAATAGAATGAATATGGCACCACCACAAACCTGCCAAGAGAGGGCCGCCCACCAAAACTCACGGACCAGGCAAGTAGGGCATTAATCAGATGCAACAAAGATAACCCTGCAGGAGCTGCAAAGCTCCACAGCGGAGATTGGAGTATCTGTCCATAGGACCACTTTAAGCTGTACACTCCACAGAGCTGGGCTTTACGGAAGAGTGGCCAGAAAAAAAGCCATAAGCGAACACGTTTGGTGTTCACCAAAAGGCATGTGGGAGACTCCCCAAACATAATGGAGAAGGTACTCTGGTCAGATGAGACTAAAATTGAGCTTTTTGTCCATCAAGGAAAACGCTATGTCTGGCGCAAACCCAGCGTCTCTCATCACCCCGAGAACACCATCCCCACAGTGAAGCATGGTGGTGGCAGCATCATGCTGTGGGGTTGTTTTTAATCGGCAGGTACTGGGGAAACTGGTCAGAATTGAAGGAATGATGGATGGCGCTAAATACAGGGACATTTTTTGAGGGAAACCTGTTTCAGTCTTCCAGAGATTTGAGACTGGGACGGAGGTTCACCTTCCAGCAGGACAATGACCCTAAGCATACTGCTAAAGCAATACTCAAGTGGTTTAAGGGGAAACATTTACATGTCTTGGAATGGCCTAGTCAAAGCCCAGACCTCAATCCAGTTGAGAATCTGTGGTATGACTTAAAGATTGCTGTACACCAGTGGAACCCATCCAACTTGAAGGAGCTGGAGCAGTTTTGCCTTGAAGAATGGGCAAAAATCCCAGTGGCTAGATGTGCCAAGCTTATGGAGACATACCCCAAGAGACTTGCAGCTGTAATTGCTGCAAAAGGTGGCTCTACAAAGTATTGACTTTGGGGGGGTGAATAGTTATGCACGCTCATGTTTTTTTTTCTTTTCTTATTTCTTGTTTGTTTCACCAAAAATATGTTGCATCTTCAAAGTGGTAGGCATGTTGTGTAAATCAAATGATACAAACCCCCCAAAAATCAATTTTAATTCCAGGTTGTAAGGCAACAAAATAGGAAAAATGCCAAGGGGGGTGAATACTTTCGCAAGCCATATTCCTTATTTTTCAGCCAGCTCATGTAGCCCAAACATTTTATTTTGTGATTTTGAAATTGTGGTACTCACATATCTTTTGTTGTTGTTGCTATGTTTGCACCACAGGTAGCTAGCCATACATTCATGCACACTTACATGCTTATACACACATTTGTATGTATAGTATATTAATGTAAATATGATTGATTCGGTGCTTTTCAGTTGGATCTCCTGTACATCAGTGTAGGCTGGTGGGAGGAGCTATAGGAGGACAGGCTCGTTGTAATGGCTAGAAAGGTATAAATGGAATTGAGTCAAATGTGATTTACGTTTGCTTGTTGTGTTTGATTCCGTTCCATTTATTAAATTTCTGCCATTACAATGACCCCGTCCTCCTATAGCTCCTCCCACCAACCTCCACTGCTGTACATAAACCATTGTGGTCAGTTTGTATGGTGTACAGTACCTTCCATGGACTCCTTTTGCGATATTTGGGAGTGTTGCAGAAAGGTTTGTTGTTAAACCTGTTCCGAGTCCTGTGTCCTCCATGCTGAAATCCATGGTGTAAATAGTGTCGGATCGTTTTAGCCCTCGTTTTAACACTCTTGTACTCTGTAAATAAGCGGTCTTTGTCTGTTTCTGCCTGTTTGTTAAAACATTGTAAATACAGAAATATTTTTTAAAGAACAAACTTAAAACTTTAAAATGCCTCTGTTATTTTTGATTACTTTCATGAGACATGGGCTCACCAATCTAAAATGATTTTATTTCAGTAGTAATCATGTTGTGAGAACTATCCAGTAGGTGGTGGTCATGTACAGCTCTATGTCAAAGGTAACAGTTGCAATTTATGTACAGTACCAGTCAAAAGTTTGGACACACCTACTCATTCTAGGGTTTTTCTTTATTTTTACTATTTTCTACATTGTAGAATAATAGTGAAGACATCAAAACTATGACATAACACATATGGAAACATGTAGTAACCAAAAAAGTGTTAAACAAATCAAAATATGTTATATTTGAGATTCTTCAAAGTAGCCACCCATTGCCTTGATGACAGCTTTGCACACTCTTGGCATTCTCTCAACCAGCTTCATGAGGTAGTCACCTGGAATGCATTTAAATTAACAGGTGTGCTTTGTTAAAAGTTAATTTGTGGAATTTCTTTCCTTAATGTGTTTGAGCCAATCAGTTGTGTTGTGACAAGGTAGGGGTGGTATACAGACGATAGCCCTATTTGGTAAAAGACCAAGTCCATATTTTGGCAAGAACAGCTCAAATAAGCAAAGAGAAACGACAGTCCATCATTACTTTAAGACATGAAGGTCAGTCAATCCAGAAGATTTCAAGAACTTTGAAAGTTTCTTCAAGTGCAGTCGCAAAAACCATCAAGCGCTATGATGAAACTGGCTCTCATGAGGACCGCCACAGGAAAGGAAGACCCAGAGTTACCTCTGCTGCAGAGGATAAGTTCATTAGAGTTAACTGCACCTCAGATTGCAGCCCAAATAAATTATTCACAGAGTTCAAGTAACAGACTCATCTCAACATCAACTGTTCAGAGGAGACTGCGTGAATCAGGCCTTCATGGTTGAATTGCTGCAAAGAAATCACTACTAAAGGACACCAATAATAAGAAGAGACTTGCTTGGGCCAAGAAACATGAGCAATGGACATTAGACCGGTGGAAATCTGTCCTTTGGTCTGATGAGTCTAAATTTGAGATGTTTGGTTCCAACCGCGGTGTCTTTGTGAGATGCAGAGTAGGTGAACGGATAATCTCCGCATGTGTGGTTCCCACCGTGAAGCATGGAGGAGGAGGTGTGATGGTGTGGAGGTGCTTTGCTGGTGACACTGTCAGTGATTTATTTAGAATTCAAGGCACACTTAACCAGCATGGCTACCACAGCATTCTGCAGCGATACGCCATCCCATCTGGTTTGGGCTTAGTGGGACTATCATTTGTTTTTCAACAGGACAATGACCCAACACACCTCCAGGCTGTGTAAGGGCTATTTGACCAAGAAGGAGAGTGATGGAGTGCTGTATCAGATGACCTGGCCTCCACAATCACCCAACCTCAACCCAATTGAGATGGTTTGGGATGAGATGGACCGCAGAGTGAAGGAAAATCTGCCAACAAGTGCTATGTAGGAACTCCTTCAAGACTGTTGGAAAAGCATTCCTGGTCAAGCTGGTTGAGAGAATGCCAAGAGTGTGCAAAGCTGTCATCAAGGCAAAGGGTGGCTACTTTGAAGAATCTCACATATAAAATATATTTTGATTTGTTTAACACTTTTCTGGGTTACTACATGATTCCATACAGTGAGGGAAAAAAGTATTTGATCCCCTGCTGATTTTGAATGTTTGCCCACTGACAAAGAAATGATCAGTCTATAATTTTAATGGTAGGTTTATTTGAACAAGAGAGACAGAATAACAACAAAAAAATCCAGAAAAACGCATGTCAAAAATGTTATAAATTGATTTGCATTTTAATGAGGGAAATAAGTATTTGACCCCTCTGACTTAGTACTTGGTGGCAAAACCCTTGTTGGCAATCACAGAGGTCAGGCGTTTCTTGTAGTTGGCCACCAGGTTTGCACACATCTCAGGAGGGATTTTGTCCCACTCCTCTTTGCAGATCTTCTCCAAGTCATTAAGGTTTTGAGGCTGACGTTTGGCAACTCGAACCTTCAGCTCCCTCCACAGATTTTCTATGGGATTAAGGTCTGGAGACTGGCTAGGCCACTCCAGGACCTTAATGTGCTTCTTCTTGAGCCACTCCTTTATTGCCTTGGCCGTGTGTTTTGGGTCATTGTCATACTGGAATACCCATCCACGACCCATTTTCAATGCCCTGGCTGAGGGAAGGAGGTTCTCACCCAAGATTTGACGGTACATGGCCCTGTCCATCGTCCCTTTGATGCGGTGAAGTTGTCCTGTCCCTTTAGCAGAAAAACACCCCCAAAGCATAATGTTTCCACCTCCATGTTTGACGGTGGGGATGGTGTTCTTGGGGTCATAGGCAGCATTCCTCCTCCTCCTAACACGGCGAGTTGAGTTGATGCCAAAGAGCTCGATATTGGTCTCATCTGACCACAACACTTTCACCCAGTTCTCCTCTGAATCATTCAGATGTTCATTGGCAAACTTCAGACGGCCCTGTATATGTGCTTTCTTGAGCAGGGGGACCTTGCGGGCGCTGCAGGATTTCAGTCCTTCACGGCGTAGTGTGTTACCAATTGTTTTCTTGGTGACTATGGTCCCAGCTGCCTTGAGATCATTGACAAGATCCTCCCGTGTAGTTCTGGGCTGATTCCTCACCGTTCTCATGATCATTGCAACTCCACGAGGTGAGATCTTGCATGGAGCCCCAGGCCAAGGGAGATTGACAGTTATTTTGTGTTTCTTCCATTTGCGAATAATCGCACCAAATGTTGTCACCTTCTCACCAAGCTGCTTGGCGATGGTCTTGTAGCCCATTCCAGCCTTGTGTAGGTCTACAATCTTGTCCCTGACATCCTTGGAGAGCTCTTTGGTCTTGGCCATGGAGGAGAGTTTGGAATCTGATTGATTGATTGCTTCTGTGGACAGGTGTCTTTTATACAGGTAACAAACTGAGATTAGGAGCACTCCCTTTAAGAGTGTGCTCCTAATCTCAGCTCGTTGCCTGTATAAAAGACACCTGGGAGCCAGAAATCTTTCTGATTGAGAGGGGGTCAAATACTTATTTCCCTCATTAAAATGCAAATCAATTTATAAAAATTTTGACATGCGTTTCTGGATTTAGTTGTTATTCTGTCTCTCACTGTTCAAATAAACCTACCATTAAAATTATAGACTGATCATTTCTTTGTCAGTGGGCAAACGTACAAAATCAGCAGGGGATCAAATACTTTTTTCCCTTACTGTATGTGTTATTTCATAGTTTTGATGTCTTCACTATTATTCTACAATGTAGAAAATAGTAAAAATAAAGAAAAACCCTTGAATGAATAGGTGTGTCCAAACTTTTAACTGGTACTGTAGGTCTAATGGTAAAACAAATTTTCTCGGATTTGACTATTTTAAGTGTTCCATGGGCCATGCCCTGAGAGAGTAGAGACTCCGGTTTATCCAGTTGCGCAATCACCACCTAAACTCAAACCATTGTGTAGCTGATAAGGTGTGTGTTATATTTTCACAGGAGCTCTCCCATGAGTACAAATTAGCTTGCACACGCTCTTGAAAGCAAATATGTTTTCACACAGGAGAGACAAGGATGTCTACCTTTTTGCTTGTTGTCGGTGTGGTAGTCGGGATTGCATTTATTTACCACAGTGTTGTCGTTAAAGGAAAGAGTTGCAAAAGTAAAGCAAAACTGCATGGGAGAACTGTCATCATAACTGGTAAGTGCTTTTTCAGTGATTTCCATTCCTATTTCATTACTGTTGGAATTTAAAGACCAAAGACGAAAATAGCATGTTTTCTGCTCTTCCCACCTGCCTAAATTAAAAAGAGTAATATCATTATTCACCCTCACATGTAAGATTGTTCTTTAATAATTTTTTACACCAGGAAGTAACACAGGCATAGGGAAGATGACGGCACTAGATCTGGCCAGGAGAGGTGCCAGGGTCATCCTGGCCTGCCGCAGCAAACAGAGAGCAGAAGCCGCGCTCGCTGACATCAAGAGGGTGAGAGGAGATTCACCATATAATAATAATTGACAGTAGGTTATGGCTAGTCACATTTTGTTTTTCTGCAGCGGTTTTAGGATTTCTCAATTATAATTTGTGTGTATGAAAATAGTACAGTAACATAGAAATGTTTCCTGTAGGAGAGTGGGAGCAATGAGGTGGTGTTCATGCAGCTGGATCTGGGGAGTCTGAAGTCTGTTCGCTCCTTTGCTGAACATTTCCTAAAGACTGAGCCCAGATTGGACCTGCTCATCAACAATGCAGGTGTGACTTGTACTAGTTGTTTGCAGCAGCGCTACGACCTTCTTTCAATACACGCAACCTTATACGACACTATAATGACATGACATTTCATTTAGTCATGTACAGACTTTTCCAGAGGGACTTGAAGTTAGTGCTTAGTGAAGTTTCACAAGAGCCTGTGTACAGAGATTGAACATGTCACAGAGATTGAACATGTCACAGAGATTGAACAGGTGTTGTAGGCTACACATTATGCTCAAGCCAAAAGAGCTTGCTGGACTGCTGTCTCAACTACCCAAGCCCACCAACCATGGCACATGTAACACCCGTCCAATATTACCCATGTAATATCCCAATTCTGACACCAGTGTAGAAATTTTGGAAGTGAGGCAGCTGGTATCATTTTTGGAAACCAAAATGTAAATAGTTACTTCCCCTTTGTCTCAGGTATTTACATGCCAGGCACCACAGAGGACGGCTTGGGGATGATGTTTGGTGTCAACCACATCGGTCACTTCCTGTTGACCAACCTGCTTCTGGACCGTTTGAATAAGTGCGGTCCGAGTCGAGTGGTCAACGTGGCGTCCGTGGGTCATAACTTCGGCACCATTGACTTCAACTGTTTGAACACTCACAAGGAGGTGGGAGTTGGTGATTCGTTCATGGATGTCTTCAACACCTACTGCAACAGCAAGCTGTGTAATGTTCTTTTCACCCATGAGCTGGCCAAGAGACTGCAGGGCACAAAAGTTACCTGCTACACCCTCCACCCAGGTCCGTACACTACACCTCAGTATGTATGAAAGCTTGTGCCCAAGTATAGATTAGGACTTGTCCTTTATTGATCAGTTGAAATGCAGTATTTATTTTGCATCCCCAGGTGGCTGAATAGTACAGTGGGGAAAAAAAGTATTTAGTCAGCCACCAATTGTGCAAGTTCTCCCACTTAAAAAGATGAGAGAGGCCTGTAATTTTCATCATAGGTACACATCAACTATGACAGACAAAATGAGAAAAAAAAATCCAGAAAATCACATTGTTGGATTTCTAATGAATTTATTTGCAAATTATGGCGGAAAATAAGTATTTGGTCAATAACAAAAGTTTCTCAATACTTTGTTATATACCCTTTGTTGGCAATGACACAGGTCAAACATTTTCTGTAAGTCTTCACAAGGTTTTCACACACTGTTGCTGGTATTTATGCCCATTCCTCCATGCAGATCTCCTCTAGAGCAGTGATGTTTTGGGGCTGTCGCTGGGCAACACAGACTTTCAACTCCCTCCAAACATTTTCTATGGGGTTGAGATCTGGAGACTGGCTAGGCCACTCCAGGACCTTGAAATGCTTCTTACGAAGCCACTCCTTCGTTGCCCGGGGGGTGTGTTTGAGATCATTGTCATGCTGAAAGACCCAGCCACGTTTCATCTTCAATGCCCTTGCTGATGGAAGGAGGCTTTCACTCAAAATCTCACGATACATGGCCCCATTCATTCTTTCCTTTACACGGATCAGTCGTCCTGGTCCCTTTGCAGAAAAACAGCCCCAAAGCATGATGTTTCCACCCCCATGCTTCACAGTAGGTATGGTGTTCTTTGGATGCAACTCAGCATTCTTTGTCCTCCAAACACGACAAGTTGAGTTTTTACCAAAAAGTTATATTTTGGTTTCATCTGACCATATGACATTCTCCCAATCCTCTTCTGGATCATCCAAATGCACTCTAGCAAACTTCAGACGGGCCTGGACATGTACTGGCTTAAGCAGGGGGACACGTCTGGCACTGCAGGATTTGAGTCCCTGGCGGCGTAGTGTGTTACTGATGGTAGGCTTTGTTACTTTGGTCCCAGCTCTCTGCAGGTCATTCACTAGGTCCCCCCGTGTGGTTCTGGGATTTTTGCTCACCGTTCTTGTGATCATTTTGACCCCACGGGGTGAGATCTTGCGTGGAGCCCCAGATCGAGGGAGATTATCAGTGGTCTTGTATGTCTTCCATTTCCTAATAATTTCTCCCACAGTTGATTTCTTCAAACCAAGCTGCTTACCTATTGCAGATTCAGTCTTCCCAGCCTGGTGCAGGTCTACAATTTTGTTTCTGGTGTCCTTTGACAGCTCTTTGGTCTTGGCCATAGTGGAGTTTGGAGTGTGACTGTTTGAGGTTGTGGACAGGTGTCTTTTATACTGATAACAAGTTCAAACTGGTGCCATTAATACAGGTAACGAGTGGAGGACAGAGGAGCCTCTTAAAGAAGAAGTTACAGGTCTGTGAGAGCCAGAAATCTTGCTTGTTTGTAGGTGACCAAATACTTATTTTCCACCATAATTTGCAAATAAATTCATAAAAAATCATTTTCTGGATTTTTTTTCTCAATTTGTCTGTCATAGTTGACGTGTACCTATGATGAAAATTACAGGCCTCTCTCATCTTTTTAAGTGGGAGTACTTGCACAATTGGTGGCTGACTAAATACTTTTTTCCCCCACTGTAAATGTATAGGCATGCAAAGTTTTAACCTACAGGGGCGTGTGTTTATTTTGTTTTTCAGGAGCAATCAACTCTGAGCTGGCTCGCGACATCAACAAGGTGGCCATGATGCTGATGAAGCCTTTTTTCATGTTCTTCTTCAAGGACACTGTGGCGGGGTCTCAGACCACCCTGCACTGTGCCCTGCAGGAGGGCCTGGAGCACCTCTCTGGACGCTACTTCTCCAACTGTAAAGTCAGGAACCTCTATCCTAAGGCCAGAGACGACGCAGTGGCCAAGAAGCTATGGGAAGTCAGTGAGAATCTGAGTGGGCTATCATCTTAAGAAACTCACTCTGACTCAGCAGTTTTAACTGGACTGCAAGCTACTAACCAATATGCTGTGTTCTTTCAAAATGAAACCGTAATTTTTTGGATTATGATTTTTTAAAATGTACATACATAGAAATATATGGATGAAGCGCTTGCTTTTTCTTACCTAACATTGATTTATGGGACATTTAATTAGGGACATGTTTTTATTTATATTTCTTACAAAACAGTAAATTAACCTAAACTGTTAATAATTTGTTTGCTCTTGATTGTTTTATGATGGCTCAAACTGTACTATTCATAGCTTCTGCCTAAGTATCCTCCTAACTATTTGTCATCCTAAATTAGAATTGAAAGGCAGCACTCATGCCTGCCCTGCAGAAAGAAAGAGAGAGCGAGATGAGCATGGAAGCTTCAGTAGAAGAATCCAAATAAAGCAAAGAAGGAAGTAAAACTACAATTTGCCTGTGCAATCCAAGGGGGTGTGGTTTAAGCTTTCTCGGAAATCAACAGAAAGTAGAGCTCTTTGCTCAATAGAGTAACCATGAGAATAACTGCGCAGTAAGGAATTCTGGCGTGAGCAGTGTGTTCTATGGATTCTCTTTACTGAGTGCTGCACAGGATCTGAAAGCTCAATGGCTGTGTTTCTTCTTTTGGCTGGAGTGGTAGCCTATATGATTTTTCATAATATCTTTGTCAAAGGGGCAATATGCAAGAGCAATGTGAAACTGCATGGGAAAACTGTCATTGTAACAGGTGAGCCTGTTTTTGTCAATGATTCCTGTGTTTCCCCTCATTGACACAGGAGGAAAGTTCATGGCACTGTTATGTAATAATGTTGAGTAGATTTAATGTTCTTTGCCTATACATAATTTAATCTATATAGCATTCTTAAATTCATTTGACTTTGTATATTATTATTTTATTTTTTTACGATTTCCCTGGTTGTAAAACTCAACAAATCACTCTTTCTGCTGCAAGCTGAAGGGGAGACCGGGGGCAATTGTAACAACTTGAATTTCTCCAAACAGAAACAAACTAGAGTGATGGAACTCTCTCAGTACATGCCCATTTAGGTGCTCTCGCTGCTTGAAGAGTTTCAGGCAAATATCTCACTATTTTTTAGGGGTAACGTTTTTTTTCTTCCACCAACTGTATTTTTCTTGTAGTGTCCTGAGCAGTAATGTCCAAGAATTCAAACTAGCATAATTATCTGTTAGATAAACATTGACATGATTGACGTGTCACAATTGTTGTCGCTTGCTAGGCACATGAGGTTTTGTGTAACGGCTGCTGGGTTGGGGGCAATTGTAACGCAGTGTTAAAATGAACATGATCCAAGCAGCCAAATGATGAAGAAAAAAAAAAAGTTATTTAACTTTAGGATTTTATGAATTATACAAAACTAACATTAAATAGCCTTGGGGTCCTGTAGAGTGTTAAATATGTCGTAAACAGATATAATTTGGGCACAATCAGATGTTTTGAGAGGAACCGAATGGCCATCCACAAACGGGTGTTACTGTAAATATTGGTTATGTACTTCATTACATACTGTATGTCTATTATAATGTAATAATTAATAAACATTAATGCATTTGAAGTTAATATAATTATTTGGTTTATTTTTTAGGTGTTACATTTCTCCCTAGCTACTGTTACAATTGCCCCTGGCACGGGGGCAAATGTAACGTCCGGACTTTGCAGATTAAAATCAATATTGTAATCCGACCGTTTTATGTACAGACCTATAAATGGTATGAATGATTAGGAGACTGATGTAAGTTCTTATATAAAAACATTACTGCCATAGTTCAAGTAGTCTCTGAGCAATAGAGTAAAATAAAAAATAAAAAAATTCAATTGCCCCCGGTCTCCCCTACATTGCATTAATCATACTAATACTAATTCTCCAGGAAGTAACACAGGCATAGGGAAGATGACGGCACTAGATCTGGCCAGGAGAGGTGCCAGGGTCATCCTGGCCTGCCGCAGCAAACAGAGAGCAGAGGCCGCCCTCGCTGACATCAAGAGGGTGAGGAGAGGTTCAACAATCTCTGACCTACTTTACATTCGCAGATTTTGTTATTACTTCACAACCCTCATAAATCGCAGTGAAAAGAGGCATTTTGGAAAATGCTAGATCTATGAATGGCTGGGCATCAATTGTTTAATGAAATTGGGACAGAGTAACAAAGAAATGCGTGTGTCCTGTAGGAGAGTGGGAGCAATGAGGTGGTCTTCATGCATCTGGATCTGGGGAGTCTGAAGTCTGTTCGGTCCTTTGCTAAAACCTTCCTAAAGACTGAGCCCAGATTGGACCTGCTCATCAACAATGCAGGTAAAGGAGGCTTGAGGTGGTGTTGTTGGACCACTCTCTCTCTCTGGGTGTATCTCGATAGTCCTAAAAGGCTTCCTTTCCCTCTACCCTCTCCTTTATTTGCACTAACATGACAGGTGAAACCAATAAACCTGTCCAGTTCCTTTGCATCAATGCAGGATGAAGGAAAGGCTGTGAGGAGATTAGGCTACTTAAGACTATTATAGTGAGGGAAAAAAGTATTTGATCCCCTGCTGATTTTGTACGTTTGCCCATTGACAAAGAAATGATCAGTCTATAATTTTAATGGTAGGTTTATTTGAACAGTGAGAGACAGAATAACAACAACAAAATCCAGAAAAACGTATGTCAAAAATGTTATAAATTGATTTGCATTTTAATGAGGGAAATAAGTATTTGACCCCTCTGCAAAACATTACTTAGTACTTGGTGGCAAAACCCTTGTTGGCAATCACAGAGGTCAGGCGTTTCTTGTAGTTGGCCACCAGGTTTGCACACATCTCAGGAGGGATTTTGTCCCACTCCTCTTTGCAGATCTTCTCCAAGTCATTAAGGTTTCGAGGCTGACGTTTGGCAACTCGAACCTTCAGCTCCCTCCACAGATTTTCTATGGGATTAAGGTCTGGAGACTGGCTAGGCCACTCCAGGACCTTAATGTGCTTCTTCTTGAGCCACTCCTTTGTTGCCTTGGCCGTGTGTTTTGGGTCATTGTCATGCTGGTATACCCATCCACGACCCATTTTCAATGCCCTGGCTGAGGGAAGGAGGTTCTCACCCAAGATTTGACGGTACATGGCCCCGTCCATTGTCCCTTTGATGCGGTGAAGTTGTCCTGTCCCCTTAGCAGAAAAACACCCCCAAAGCATAATGTTTCCACCTCCATGTTTGACGGTGGGGATGGTGTTCTTGGGGTCATAGGCAGCATTCCTCCTCCTCCAAACACGGCGAGTTGAGTTGATGCCAAAGAGCTCCATTTTGGTCTCATCTGACGACAACACTTTCACCCAGTTCTCCTCTGAATCATTCAGATGTTCATTGGCAAACTTCAGACGGGCATGTACAGTGAGGGAAAAAAAGTATTTGATCCCCTGCTGATTTTGTACGTTGGCCCACTGACAAAGACATGATAAGTCTATAATTTTAATGGTAGGTTTATTTGAACAGTGAGAGACAGAATAACAACAACAAAATCCAGAAAACGCATGTCAGAAATGTTATAAATTGATTTGCATTTTAATGAGGGAAATAAGTATTTGACCCCTCTGCAAAACATGACTTAGTACTTGGTGGCAAAACCCTTGTTGGCAATCACAGAGGTCAGACGTTTCTTGTAGTTGGCCACCAGGTTTTCACACATCTCAGGAGGGATTTTGTCCCACTCCTCTTTGCAGATCTTCTCCAAGTCATTAAGGATTCGAGCCTGACATTTGGCAACTCGAACCTTCAGCTCCCTCCACAGATCTTCTATGGGATTAAGGTCTGGAGACTGGCTAGGCCACTCCAGGACCTTAATGTGCTGCTTCTTGAGCCACTCCTTTGTTGCCTTGGCCATGTGTTTTGGGTCATTGTCATGCTGGAATACCCATCCATGACCCATTTTCAATGCCCTGGCTGAGGGAAGGAGGTTCTCACCCAAGATTTGACGGTACATGGTGCCGTCCATCGTCCTTTTGATGCGGTGAAGTTGTTCTGTCCCCTTAGCAGAAAAACACCCCCAAAGCATAATGTTTCCACCTCCATGTTTGACGGTAGGGATGGTGTTCTTGGGGTCATAGGCAGCATTCCTCCTCCTCCAAACATGGCGAGTTGAGTTGATGCCAAAGAGCTCGATTTTGGTCTCATCTGACCACAACACTTTCACCTCTGAATCATTCAGATGTTCATTAGCAAACTTCAGAAGGGCCTGTATATGTGCTTTCTTGAGCAGGGGGACCATGCGGGCGCTGCAGGATTTCAGTCCTTCACGGCGTAGTGTGTTACCAATTGTTTTCTTGGTGACTATGGTCCCAGCTGCCTTGAGATCACTGACAAGATCCTCCCGTGTAGTTCTGGGCTGATTCCTCACCGTTCTCATGATCATTGCAACTCCACGAGGTGAGATATTGCATGGAGCCCCAGGCCGAGGGAGACAGTTCTTTTGTGTTTCTTCCATTTGCGAATAATCGCACCAACTGTTGTCACCTTCTCACCAAGCTGCTTGGCGATGGTCTTGTAGCCCATTCCAGCCTTGTGTAGGTCTACAATCTTGTCCCTGACATCCTTGTAGAGCTCTTTGGTCTTGGCCATGGTGGAGAGTTTGGAATCTGATTGATTGATTGCTTCTGTGGACAGGTGTCTTTTATACAGGTAACAAACTGAGATTAGGAGCACTTCCTTTAAGAGTGTGCTCCTAATCTCAGCTCGTTACCTGTATAAAAGACACCTGGGAGCCAGAAATCTTTCTGATTGAGAGGGGGTCAAATACTTATTTCCCTCATTAAAATGCAAATCAATTTATAACATTTTTGACATGCGTTTTTCTGGATTTTTTTGTTGTTATTCTGTCTCTCACTGTTCAAATAAACCTACCATTAAAATTATAGACTGATCATTCCTTTGTCAGTGGGCAAATGTACAAAATCAGCAGGGGATCAAATACTTTTTTCCCTCACTGTAAGATGCACCCTGAACACCCATCAACCTCCCATAGAAGTGATTGTGGATGAGTGATTGCTCGTTTCCATGTTTCCTCTCAGGTATTTACATGCAGGGCACCACAGAAGACGGCTTGGGGATGATGTTTGGTGTCAACTACATCGGTCACTTCCTGTTGACCATCCTGCTTCTGGACCGTCTGAAGGACTGCGGTCCGAGTCGAGTGGTCAACGTGGCGTCCTTGGGTCATAATTTTGGCAAAATTGATTTCAACTGCTTGAGCACTCACAAGGAGTTAGGTGTTGGCAAGTCTGCCACGGATGTCTTTAACATCTACTGCAACAGCAAGCTGTGTAATGTTCTCTTCACGCATGAGCTGGCCAAGAGACTGAAGGACACAAACGTTACCTGCTACAGCCTCCACCCTGGTCAGTGCTGCCAAGTCAGGCATCCAATTTAATTTGACTGTATAAAACGTTTGAATGTAATGGTATCTGCAGCTTTCAAGTTGGTTCTACCTAGGTTGAATGTAAAATATAATAAAATGCCTAATGTTCCAGTCAAAGCTCTTCTCTGTCCTGGCACCCCAATGGTGGAACAATCTTCCCCCTCTTCTCTGTCCTGGCACCCCAATGGTGGAACAAGCTTCCCCTAATGTCAGGACAGCGGAGTCCCTGGCCATCTTCCGTCAACGTCTAAAAACCTACCTCTTTAAGCGATATGTTATTGTCTCACCTAGCTATCTTAAGATGAATGCACTAATGCAAGTTGCTTTGGATAAGAGTGTCTACTAAATGACTGAAATATAATTTTAAAAAATGTTTTATGGATGGATAACTCAACTCTAGTCCTTGTGTCTTTTTCTCCTAGGTATAATCGAAACTGAGCTGGGCCGTTACGCCAACTCTGTATTATTAATGCTGTTGAAGCCCTTCTCCATGTTGTTCTTCAAGAACACTGTGGCGGGGTCTCAGACCACCCTGCACTGTGCCCTGCAGGAGGGCCTGGAGCCCCTCTCTGGACGCTACTTCTCTAACTGTACAGTCAGGAACCTCTATCCTAAGGCCAGAGACGACGCAGTGGCCAAGAAGCTATGGGAAGTCAGTGAGAATCTGTGTGGACTCCCGTGAAAGCCTCCCCCTGTGACTCAAGCTCTCCTCAGTGTGCAAGATGATTTTTGCGTGGACTTGCCCTTTAAATCAACCAACAGTGTCAAAGACATTCTAAAAGTGCTTACTCATGTGTGATTAGTATATAGGACTGATCTTGTGCATTAACTTCTAAGTTCTTACCACACGTTACTAAGGGTGTTCCACTCTGCCCTAGTAGATATCATATCTGGAACATAATTAAAGGACCCACCCAAAACTGTGCATGTTGGAATCAATTCAATCATGAAGTGGCAAACAGGATGAAGAAGCATAGGCTTACTGGGCAATTCAAGACTGATGGGAAAAAGTACATGTTCCTCAATGGGGCTGTTGTGCATTCATTGGTTGTATAATAATTGTGCCAGCACTGAACAGTGCATCCATTCATATTTTAGATAATGTAATCTCGTGGTTATAGATCATGTGGATATGGCAGTGGAGCTGATGCGGTTTGTTGCCTTGATCATGTTGATTGGAATAAAAAACCAGGGGTGGAAAGAGTACTAAAATATCTTACTCAAGTAGAAGTACTGTTAATTTAATACAATTTTACTCAAGTAGAAGTCAAATGAATGGTGTAAAAAAACTACTCAAGTAAAATGTAGCTAATTTAAAAAGTACCTCTGAATACATTTAATTGAGTTACTTTTAAAATATAAACATTGACCTTGATAATTAGCTGATTTTGCTCAAATTACCTGAATGTTGTGACACGATATTTTCCATGCATTCAATTGAAAAAGAAAGAGGCAATGAATGAAAGTATTTTATGAGTTATAACAAGGCACATCTGTATGTAAAATTATTAACATTTGAAAACAAACATTCAAAGCAATTAAAATGTATAGATTTTTTTTTTTTTACGATACAAAATAAAGTGCATAAGCAATAAAGTTGCCAGACTTCTATATACTTCAGACTCTAGAAATAAACATGTCTTCTTTTTTCAACCATTCAGTCCCTCATTCATCCCTCTATTACTTGTTACTTGTCCATGGGACCGGCTGACATTCACTCACTCACCCATTCACACTCTTTCATTCACTCACTCTTTCCCTAACTCACTGCACAAACTCCCTCTTTCACTCACTCGTCATCAGTGGTGGAAAGACGACTGAAATATTCTACTCAAGTAGAAGTACAGTTACTTTAATTACATTTTACTCAAGTAGAAGTAAAATGACTGACTGGCGGCCCAGTCCTTGCGCAGCAGTCCCTCCCAGCTGCAGTCAGAGCAGGAGATGTTCACCCCTCCACCTCCAGACTGCAAATAAATCGCGCATGCGGGAAGCCGCCGCTGGCTGATCCCGCCCTGGTTTACATTCAGGGCGGGATGTAAATGTAGTGTGTTTTTTACTCACTTTTTGTCTCTCCCAGGACGTTATTCCTCTCTCCTACAGCTTCCATCACGATTACATGCACATGGCCAATTATGCAAATTAGGTGATTACATCATTTAGCGACTTCTAGCGACTTTTAGGACAGCCAATAGCTACTTTCCTTACTAAGGAGTTGGCAACACTGCGTCTACGGCTGGCCAATCAGATAGCTCAGATCACCGTGTCTGCACAGTTTCCTCGCGCAATAGACTGTAAAAATGAGAATGTGAGATTTAAAAACTTTTAAAACCATGACTAGAGAGACTCAACGAATACAGCAAAGAGCTAATTATTATGCTCACTCAGCTGTGCCTCACAAGTAATACAACAAATTATATATTACCAGTGTGATCATATAGGCCTACCTACATTTTTGAAATATCATTTCAAAATGGCCTGAGAAGAACAACATTGGCAGGGCAATTCAAGTGTAGTTAATATTGGAACGACCCTGGGTTTATAAACGCGGATATCGACTCTGCCACGCGAGCATGCTTTTGGGGCACAGTCGATGGCGCGCTAGACTTAGGGCTAGAAGGTTGAGGGTTCGAGACCTGCTCCCTGCCTGTTTCATTACAATATGTAACGTTAGTGATAATGTATTGGGCCTATAGCCTACTGCACAAACCTCATTGCTACAGAACAGTTTTTAATTGGTTAGTGTTGCATAGGCATGTTTTTTAAGTAATGTAAAACAAATCTGAGCTGTAGATCTCGGCTTTCATTTTGACTCAGAAAGTGATCTTGACTCAGAAAAAGTTGGTGACCGCGGAATTAGAACGTATGCCCTCAATATGGAGGCGATTTTTCATGCAGATTACAAAAACGACATCTGGTGGAATACTTCCGTACAGCAGGAATAAATTATACCCGGAAGCGCTTGGGGGCGTAATAAAACATAAACAAAGCATACAGCACGTTAGCCTGCTGAATTTTGATAGCTTGCAAACGAAATTACCTTCCCGAATTCAGAAACAACGCTCGGTACTGTAATAATGTCGGTTTTGCTATCTATTCTGGCAGTAGGGATTGCGTTGTATTTGATACTTTGTCAGAGGATCAAGATGCACGAGCTCTGTGACACTTAAAGGAAATACTGCTATTGTAACAGGTTAATTAGGCTAATTTTGTTGCCTTGCTATGTGATGGGGACTGATTTAGTGTGCTCATGTTTCAAGTGCGTTCATGCTGAAGACCTTTACATTAAAATGTGTTTTGTTGTTCACTAGGGAGTAACACTGGTATTGGAAAGGCTACTGCTTTAGATTTGGCCAAGAGAGGTGTAAGGGTCATCCTCGCCTGCCGCAGCAAACAGAAAGCTGAGGCTGCGGTGTATGATATCAGAAAGGTTAGAGTAGCCTTATTGATAATATAAATAATCCAAATATAAGGTTGTGGAGTCGCATCTCAATACATACTGATCAGGGATTTGTTTAACCTGTGTGAAAATGTGTGGTGTTGGAAATCCACCGTTTGATTCGTCCTCTGTTCTATAGGAAAGTGGTAGCAATGAGGTGGTGTTCATGCAGCTGGATCTGGGGAGTCTGAAGTCTGTTTGCTCCTTTGCTGAAACGTTCCTGAAGACTGAGCTCAGACTGGACCTGCTCATTAACAATGCAGGTATGGCAGAGAGAGAGGGAATGTAAACATTCATTCCAAATACATAAAACACACTTTCTCTTTTCAATTAACACTATTGAATCAAATGTGACACATTGCTTCTTACCCTATGGATAAAAGAATACACTAATTTTAAGACAAATACAGAAATACTTGGCCATTATGTGTTGCCTAACTCCCTGTCGCTGGTCTCACTGTCTGTCACCTCAATTTCCTCGACTACCTCATACCCCTGCACATTGACTCGGTACTGGTAGTCCTTGTAAATAGCCTCGTTATTGTTATTTAGTGTTACTTTTTCCTTTTTTTATTTAGCAAATATTTTTCTTACTTTTTAACTCTACATTGTTGGGAGTGGGCTCTTAAGTAAGCATTTCACGGTAAACTCTATACCTGTTGTATTCGGCGCATGTGACCAGTACAATTTGATTTGTTTCAGGAATGCTGGGGCCTGGCCACACTGATGATGGGTTCGGCATGGCGTTCGGGGTCAACCGCTTAGGCCACTTCCTGTTGACCTGCTTGCTGCTGGACCGGCTGAAGGAGTGTGGTCCGACTCAAGTTGTCAATGTGTCAGCTTACACCGGCTAGGCTCTGTCGACTTTGCCCTCCTGGGTACCCACAAGGACCTGGTGCCAGGCCAGTCCACCTGGCATAACTTCAGGGCCTACTGTCACAGCAAGCTGTGCAACGTGCTCTTCTCCCGGGAGCTGGCCAACCGCCTGGAGGGGACCAGCGTCACCACCTACAGCCTCTACCCAGGTCAGTAGCTCTCTACCTACAACCTCCACCCAGGTCAGTACCTCTCCACCTGTAACCTCCACCCAGGTCAGTACCTCTCCACCTGTAACCTCCACCCAGGTCAGTAGCTCTCCACCTACAACCTCCACCCAGGTCAGTAGCTCTCCACCTACAACCTCCACCCAGGTCAGTACCTCTCCACCTGTAACCTCCACCCAGGTCAGTACCTCTCCACCTGTAACCTCCACCCAGGCCAGTAGGTCTCCACCTACAACCTCCACCCAGGTCAGTAGCTCTCCACCTACAACCTCCACCCAGGTCAGTACCTCTCCACCTGTAACCTCCACCCAGGTCAGTACCTCTCCACCTGTAACCTCCACCCAGGTCAGTAGCTCTCCACCTGTAACCTCCACCCAGGTCAGTAGGTTTCCACCTACAACCTCCACCCAGGTCAGTAGCTCTCCACCTGTAACCTCCACCCAGGTCAGTAGCTCTCCACCTGTAACCTCTACCCAGGTCAGTAGCTCTCCACCTGTAACCTCCACCCAGGTCAGTAGCTCTCCACCTGTAACCTCCACCCAGGTCAGTAGCTCTCCACCTGTAACCTCCACCCAGGTCAGTAGCTCTCCACCTGTAACCTCCACCCAGGTCAGTAGCTCTCGCAACCTGAAACTATGGCAGAGGCTCTTTCTGGAGCCCATCACTAAGCTCTTCTTTATGGATGCTGAGAGGGGAGCCCAGACCACTCTGCACTGTGCCCTCCAAGAAGGGATCGAGCCGCTGAGTGAACGCTACTTCTCTTCCTATGCACTACAGGAAGTAGGCACCAAGGGGTGGGATGATGCTTTGGCCAGGAAGCTGTGGGAGGTGAGTGAGTGCTATCTGACCTATCCTGAGAGACTCTGATTCTAGCCATGGCAAAGATTTTGGAATATACTGACAAGATATTGGACTCTCCATTCTAACAATGGTAATCAATGTCCGTGAAGGCGAACGCAGGCGGGAGGAGGTGGGATCAGGCGTCTCTCTCTCTCTCTCTCTCTCTCTCTCTCTCTCTCTCTCTCTCTCTCTCTCTCTCTCTCTCTCGCATCATGCCTTGTTATAACCAATGATGCCTTGTAACTTATGATTTTGCTTTGTATATTGGAATTAATTCCTTTTACAATGTTATTAAATACTTGCATTTATATCAGTTTCTAATGACCATTTCTTGATCTTAGTCAGCATTAAGTCAGTTAATAGACTTAGTTAATAAACAAATGACAGTCGGAGTATGAGGCCAGGTGATGAATATAGATAATATAACGTCCTCCTGCTGCTTCACTTTTTATTTTGCACGGAAGGAAGGGAGGAGTCCTCACTCTCGCTTCACCTATTCCTCAATGGCCACGGTCCCAGTGGCCTTTAACAACACAGAGTGAAAGTACTTAACAGGAACAAAGTCACTTTCCCATGAATGATGTGCCTTTTTGAAGGATGTCTTACTACAGGTCCAAAGATGGACTTATACGATGTGCTTATTGTCTCACAATATTCAGGGAAGGAATGTTTTCCGAAGATGAAGAAGAAGAAAGGGCTGTAGTGAAATCTGTTTATACTTGTGTGGTTTAATGAGAATAATTTACACTGGTTTTGTGGCACAATGTCATAGAAAAGGGATTGATGACTAATGACTGAACTTTCCCACAGTTATCAGTCAGGTCATTCATAACATTCACTGTGACTGGGTAGATACACTTACAAACTCACCATGAACTTGCAGAACCTGAAGGAACTGGCAGTTATGGTATGTCATTCTGCTCTGTCATTATGACACAACTTGTGTTCAGCACAGGGTAAACAAAAGATAGGAGCACTACTTGAGTTGGGTTCCATACAGAACATAAGGATGGACGTTCTTGGGAGGTTACTTATTAAACAAACACAAGTGTATGTATACATTTCTGTTGAAAGGCATGTGGTAAATCATTTACAAGCTTTATCTAATCTTCAATATCCATTATCTATGTGAAGATATATTACACATTTTCAGTTCAGCATTGATACACATAAAAACAATTCTAGCAACCATTTTGTTGAATGGCTATAAAAAAAATCTGTTTTTGCTTCTGAATAAAGTTATACTACAGGTATATGGATGTGTTGTACAATGTCCAGGTGTTTTCATGCCCCTGTGTGGCAGTCATGTTTTC